CCTGTCATCGGCCGCCTGATAAATCCCCAACAAGAGGGACGAATCTCGCGTCATATTTTTCAAGTCGTCGCGTCGCGTCGCCTCCCCCCGCCGAGCCTCCCACCCTATTGGCCGTGTCAGCCACCCCGGCGCCGCCGCGGAGTGACTCCACACAGTCTCTGTCTCCCTCGCACCCAAAGGGGGACGTTCCACATGGGTGCAAGAGAGAGGAAGGTGCCACCGCGGAATCGGTCCGCCGGCCGCACGACACCCCGTCGTAAAAATAAAAGCCCTCCGGGAGTGCCCGGCGGACGGGGACGGGCCGGGGACGGGCCGGGGACGGGCCGGGGACGGGCCGGGGACGGGCCGGGGACGGGCCGGGGACGGGCCGGGGACGGGCGCGGTGACGGCGACCCACACAGTCACACAGTCGCACGGCCTAACTGGGCCAGCGCGGCGTGCGGGCCGCGGCGGGCCGTCCACCGTCAGGACGGACTATTTCCATCCCTTTAATGAGTCGGCCGGCCGCGGGCCGGGGCGGGGCGGGGCGGCGAAGGGCGGGCAGGGGTGACCGCCCCTCCAGGACCGCCACCTCGCGAGGCGTCTCTCTCGCACTCACGGGCCGCCGGGCCGCCCCGCTCGGGTGCGAGAGAGGCAGACCGGCGGCCACGCTAATTTCCACCGCATTCCGGCGGGAAAGGGCGAAAGGCGCTAAATGACTCGCGCCCCGCCGTGGACCGGAAGTGCAGGCCGCGGCCCGCGTCGCCGCGTCGCCTGCCCAGGAATGTGGTCCGAAAGTGACAAACGGACTTCCTGCGCGCGCCGGTCACCGTCGCACCGAAGCGACACCGAAGTGACGTGACACGACGGGCACCCCTCGGCCCGCTCGGCCGAGCGCGTTCGTCGGGGACGGGAAGCACCGCGACCGCCACGGCCCGATTCGGCGCATCGTGGGTGAGAGGTTATCGAATTCCTACACCTCTCAAGCTTGCCTTGGGGACACCAACTCCGCTTTGGCGTCGGCAGCCCTTCAACTCATTCCGAAATCTGAGCGCAGAATCGAAATCTACGCCAAGGGTCACTCGGCGTGAGGGAGGTGTCGGCATTTGGTGGCTTATAAGATGAGAACATATTCCGTGCGCGAGCGAGTTACCAAAAAACGCCGCGCTTTTCACCGTCGCGTCTTTCAGGCAGACGCCATGTTCATTTCTAATAGGCATGTCGTTTTGAATGCCCGTCTGCGGGACTTGGCGTGGACTCGGCAGGCCCGCGACGGGCAAGGTACGTCCTAACTCTGCCTCACCGAGCGGACGAATCACAGCGAAGCACTTCCCGGCGGTTTGGCAGTGTCGCAGTCCGGGCGGCGAGCCGGGCGGCCACCACGAGGCTGGATGTGGCTGCCGAAACGGGGCCGGGCCAGGGCCAGACTGGCTGGCTGCGCCGAGGACGCCGCTATCGCCATGATAAGCACACTGCCAATCGACCCCCCCCCCCCCTCCGAAAAAAATCACACATCTCCCAAACGGCTTCTGGCAGGCAACCATGGCGGCATGCACTGGTGAAACCAAAGCGCGACAAAGTGATTATTTCTTCAGCGTGCAGGAGTCGTAGGCACCTGGGCCCCGTTCCTTCCGCCTAAAACGAAGGGCGACGCCCCGCCTTGATTTGGTCGCACCCACGCAAAATCCGTGCCACTGCGCCGCCATTATTGCGTCCAGACGGTCCTGACGGTCCTGACGGTCCTGCCCCTCGACGGCGCCCTCCACACGAGCGGCGCGGCGTTACACCCCGCACAAGGCCGCCGCCGTCGGCCGCCATCGGCCGCCATCCTGCCGATGGGGATCCCCGCGCCGCACAACGCGAAGAACCCCTCCCGCTGTTTGTTGAGATTCCCCCCGGCCGCGCTGTTTACGCATCTAGCCTCACAAATGTCCGAGCCGCCCGTCCTGGCTATTAGGCCACGCCCCGCCCCCGCCCCGCCGTTGCACCAAACATGTTTTCGCTACACAACACGCGGGTCGCAGGCGTCGCGGCGCGTCGTGTCGCGTCGCCCCGCTGCGAGGGGCGCGCTGCGACTGGCTGAGCGCTCCAGAGGTCGACGGCCCCCCGGAGACGCCGCCGCAGTGCCGCGGTCCGCGCCGTGTGTTGTGGCTGGCCGGCCGGTGATGAACGGCGCGCTGCCGCACTGCCCCGCTGCCGCGCACCAACAACAAGTCCAACAGGCAGGTCGGCCGCCACGCCGCCACCCTCCGCCAGTCCGCGCTCGCCAGTTTCCGGCCAGAAACACGGCAAAACGGCCAAAAGCTAGAGGGCGGATTTCCGCGGACACACGTGACAGTCACCAAATGGATGCATCAATGACTCGGCAGGGGAGGGGGCGGAGGCGCCGCCCGGCACGGCACGGCACTGGCAGCCCCCCAACTCGCTAGGCCAGCTAGGCCCGGCCGGCAGGGCCGCGGTGAGAACCCCGCAGCGCCCGCAGCCCCGCCGCGCATCGCCGTCCTGCGGGCAGGCCTACCCCGCCGTCCGCAGGCGCTCCGCGACGGGCGGCAGCCTAGCCAGCCTAGCCGGAACGGAACGGAACGCGACGCGCGGCCGGGGCAGGCAGGCAGGGGCAGGCTGCTTGCGGGCAGGGGTGGCCGCCGTCCGCCACGACCGGCGCGGGTGGCACCGCGGTTTGGCAGAGTGTGAGCTTCTCCTCGCGGCCGTGTCCCGCGCCTCAAATTGGGGAAATTTGTTTATTTTTTGTGGCGGCAGCGGCGTCAGTGGCACCGCATGTCCTCGCTCCTCTTTTATTTTGACTGCGCAGTGTGCGGCGGCGTGCGGCGTGCGCGCCGTGACTAAAGGAAATCATGTGTCTCGTCGGCGCGCCACCCCCGCCCGCCCCGCCCGCCCCCCGGCGGGGAGTCCCCGGCCACTCCCACGCCAACGCGTCTTAAAATAGGGAAACAATTTTTAACAAGTCCGGCCGCGCTGCCGCGGTACCGTCACACTCCTAGTCACGCACTCGCGGGGCGCGAACTGCGAACGGCGGGGCGGCCGGTGCGTCTTCTTCCATCCCTCCGGCCTCCGGCCAGGCTCGCAGCATCGCAGCATCGCAGGCTTGGCGCTCGCGTCGCCAGCCAGCCAGGCAGCCCCGGCAGGCAACACCTGGTGTGATTAGTGCGCGGCGTGGGTGGGGCGTGGGTGGGCGATAGTCGCCGATTCGAGCCGAGCGCCGCCCCGCCGAGCCCCGCCGAGCCCCGACCAACGGAGCCGAGCCGGGTCGCGACGAGCCAAGTTGGCCAGCGGCCAGAAACAGCCAACACTCACTACTCGGGGAGTCTCGCGGAGTCTCGGGGATGGCTGCGGCGCTGCTGGCCACGCTGCGGCACTGCGCCATTGGGGCCACGACGCCCCCAAACCCCAACGCTGCCAGTGCTGCCAGTGCCCGTGCGGCGCCGGGCCCGTGGCCGGCTAGGCCGGGCCAGCGGAGAGCCAGAGCGGCTGAGCGGCACAACGGGTTGGGTGTCCTGGCTGCACCTGGCCATCCAGCCGCGGAGCACACCTCCCGCCTGGAGAACGAGAACTTAGAACAGCGTCTTCACGGCGTTGCATTCAGAGCGCCTGAGTGGGGCTGCGCGGGGCCGCGTGGCGACGCGCGACGCAGCCTGTGCACGCAGACTTGAGACTTCCCTGCCTCTAAATAGAAGGCCTGCTGATGCCCCCGCGGCGCGGCGGCGCTAGGCTAGGCCACGCCAAGCCGCGATGCCAGCCTGGCTGAGCGCAGCGAGCGCATCGGACTAGAACCCAGCGCAGCCAAGGCGCAGCCAAGGCGCAGCCGACGCACGCTGCTGTAGCAAGGGGCCGAGCCGAGCGCAGAGCCCTGCCCAGACGCGCCAGGAGGCCAGAGCTGGGGCAGCGCAGCGCCAGCGCAGCCAGGCCTACTAAGACACCTCTAGACACCTCCTGTCAGCTGCAGCCCCTCCTACCCCACCCCCACCCCCTGCCCCCACGCCAGCTCAAGCACCGGCACTTGTCACTGACGAGGTTCCCATTGGCCCACTGGCCGCGCTGACCGCTCGGGGATGCAACATCGAGGCACCATCATGACATCATGACAACAGGACACTTCATTGGGGTTCCCAGCCAGAATCATGCTCCCATGTCAACGGGTGTACAATCAGAGGCTTAACAAACGAATATTTGGGGACACGTTTCCTGACCCTGTGAAAAGCAATGATCACAAGGAGCAACATTTAGGATCTTTCATCCAATACCAAGTGAATGCATGACCTCTCTGCCAATTTAGAGAGGACGTTGTTCCGCATTTTGAGCAGCGGAACTTTGAGTGTTAACTTTGATGAGGTCCAAGGTGGTGATTTATAAAGCGGGTGATGTATGTAGTTTAAAACTGTATTGGCAAAACTGTTCAATTGATGATTGATGATTGAATTGATGATCTTCAGTGTCATTTGGGATAAAATCAAAAAATGTCCATGATTTTGAGGTCACCAAAAACATGTACAAAGAATAATTTCTTCACACACTTACTGATTTGGGCCTTATGGAAAACAAGTCATTTGCCGCACTAATCTATTACTTAAATAGAAGAAACTGTCTAGAAATGCATTCAGTCTGAGTAGGTAATACTTGAACACAATGTTGAGGTTATGATGACTGACGGGAAGAATGGACTTTCAGGCACAAATGTCTTGCTAGGACGGGATTGGAAGAGAACAATCGAAAACGCGCGAAGAAAAGAATGTTCATAACAAATTGAAAATTCAAAGATATTTGACACAAATGCGAACAACACCACAGAGCACGAAAGTGCCGATTACGTTGTAGGGCCTTGATGTAAAGTGCAAGCGAAACCGAAGGTACCGTAGGATGGCAACGGCAATGACACCAGAACAAATAAGACTGCAGTTGAAAAGGACAAAACTGCGAGCTTTGTATCGATATTAAGTAAAATTACAGGGACACACGGGCCTCAGTCGTTTAGGCCCTATCAATAAACATCATTCAAACAGTATCCTACTTCCTTCTTACCTCTAATCGTAGGCTGGCGAAGACACGGAGATTTGTGTGGAGCAGTCAAGAAAATGAATCAACTCGACTCGTCAGTCGAAAGTAAACACACGCGAAATTACAAGACGGGTAAACTACATAGAGGTGGCCATTTTGAAACTTGACAACTCGCGGCCACGGAAGACAGACCCTGGGAAAAATTGGTTTCCAAATATTTCAACTCGACTGTTTCGATAAAATTGCTTGTGGACAGTTTTTCGTTTAGTTTACGAATCTACGTATCAATCGACGCCTTACTTCAGTTCGTGTGATCTAGTGTACTAGCAGACGCTTTGTACAGTCGCGCAATTTTCACAACATCGCTCTTCCTCATCTGACACGTCCTAGATGTGACTGTTTTGTTTTTGTTTGGAAGGCAATTGTAGGTGCCACATTATCTGAAAGAACACAGGTCAAATGTCAATTACCATTGTCCTCTTATGACCAGTGATTTGTGCTATTGTCTTCCCTTATTTATGTAGCCTGCCCTGAAGTTTTGAAGAAGGTAAATCATATGCTTTTTGTGTATCACAGCATGTATCTTAAATACCTCCTCTACGACTTTACCATGTATTATTAATTTTCTCTCATTAATTTTATGTATTTTGACTAAATCTTACTTGGTATTTTCTGCTGATGAAGAAACTTCTTGATGCTTTCAGTTCTGTGTGAGCAATCTCAATCGTAGGTTAGGTTTGATGACAAAGTCATCTTATCATTGTTTGTTTGAGCTATTTAACACTCTTTGATATTTTTCGGCAAGACAATCGGTATTGTCCCTTGTTGTTTGTTTAGGGGAGGGAAGGTTTAAGAAGATTCAACACCCTTAACATCATCACGGCTTTATTGTTCTTATTGTCCTCCTCAGTACATTTATCCACAAATATTGTTGTTTCTACTGCTTCGACCACTTACCGTTTAACTTAAATACAAATATCAGATACAAACAGCTAAATGCCTAAATTTCTGAGGATTTTATTCTTCATTTTAAAGAAATATGTAATATTTGTGGGTACATTTCTAAAACATAAAGCACAAATCTTTTAATCAAGAACATAAATTTCTAAAAGCTACCAGGGTTTTCATTTAATTGTTTTATTTATTTTTTTGTATTTTTTAAAGAATTGCCATAATATAATTTTTTCTGTGGTGAAGGGGCTTGGGATTTACAGAAACATTCCAGTCATTGTCCATATTCTATGCAAGGCCTGTAAGGTCAGATGTAAGATTTATTAGAAAAAAGAAATTGTTGCCGATGTAGGCATTTATGAGTTTGTCATCTTAAATTTCAAAACTTGTGAGGGCTCTTTAGGATTTTCTTTAGTAATCCTAAGCAATCATTTTATTCAGGGTTTGCGCTTGTTGCCTCCGTCGTTGTTGATGCTGTCTCACTTGCAGGTTGAGATTCACGGATGTCTAGGAAAGGCATCCTCTTTTGAAGCTCAAGCCTGAAACATTGGATAGATTTTAATTTAGGTTTAACTTTTCTTTTCTGTTTTTTCTTTCATACAGGATCATGAGTAATCGTCGAGCTCTTGCAAACTGCTCAGCTGTCAACTGCAGCAACAAGTACAAGAAGGGATCAGGAATAATTTTTCATCCGTAAGTGTAACCATCTTCATGCAATTACTGTTACTTCTAATCATGTTTCATAAATTGTGTCAGGAATTTAATTTATTTTTATTCCTTTTTAGATTTCCCTTAGCCAACACTGAGCTCTCTAAAAAATGGGTCATTGCCATGAGAAGGGCAAATTTCACTCCTACCAAAGGGCATTCTCTTTGCTCGGAACATTTTGAAGACAACTGCTATACATCAGCCGCAAATGGAAGAAGAGTTCTGAATGTTAATGCTATCCCTACTAAGTTCAATTTTCCCTTGAAGAGACCCATAAGAGTAACATCAGCTAATAGCACAGCTAGTGCTACAGCACTGGATAAAGGACTAAAGTCAGTGACGGACAAACCACCTGTATTTGCTGCTTCACCCATTGTTCTCAATGGCCAGCTGCAATCTAGTCCAGTTAGAAGAGCCTTCCTGAAAGACCACTGCTACTCGCTGCCTGGACTTCAGAAGCTGAAACGGAAGCTTGATGAAACTGATGGAGATTTAGGAAAGCAGTTATCTCTTGCTGATGTAGAGCAAATACTAATACCAACAGCATCAGACCGTGTTGGAGTAGTACCACCTTCTGCTCCTCGCCATGCAAGTACCAATCCAATTCAAGAACACATTGATGCTTGTGTGATGAAGGCTGTGACACCTTTAGAGCAGCAACTCCAACATATGAAAGCAATTGTCAACGCACTCACATCACAAATCAATAATGCTCCTAAGGTCACTCACAACAGGATGGGTAAAGAGACTTTTGATTGGTACAGCCTCATGCCTGCACAGCCCTCTGGTAGCCTGCCTCAAGATGAACATGAGATACAAGTCTTAGCAACTCGTTTAGCAGTCAATTTCTCTGAACTTCCTGCGGAAGCTGTCACTGAGCAATATCAGATACACTATGTGCTGACTCAGTTTGCAATTTGGCCGACACTGCCACCTGCCCAGCAGTTAGCAACCTACAGAATGGCTCGCATGTTATACACTGCCATCAAAAAAGGGTGGCCAGTGGCAATACAGGATGAGCAAGACTTGGAAGAGGCAGCTGCCATTGAGGAATTAGCTGTGCCCCCTCGGGTTACCACTGGAAAGCGATCCAGCCCAAGAGGTATCTTGATGCCTCAGGGAAGGTCAAGGCGTTAAAAAGAATGCTCCTTTTCGTACATTGATGACTGTGTTACATTTTGAAGTGCCTCTTATAATCAAATAAGTATGATTAATTCTTTCTTAAAATATTCCTCTCTGAATTGAGTCTTAGGTGGGCTTATCCTAGATGAGATTCTTGTTAAATTTGTGGACCATGGTTGTTAAAATATTTCTGATTAAAAAATGAAATGGCAATTGTTTGGAGTCATTTTAGTTAACTTGAAATGGAGATCACATATTTAAACTCTGTTGTACAATTTGTCCTCCATGATCGTATTGGTGTCTACTTAGAGACAAACGAGTCCTTTTTTTGTTTTATTTGTGTCTTTGTGTGTGTGCGTGTGTGTATTTTTGTTGTTGTTATAAGAGGAAGGAGGAGTCAATTGTGTTCCATGGTGACTTATGGATAAGCATGAACTTGAAATTTCTCTGTGAAAAATTGTTCCTTTGTTAGTAAAGTTTGTGTAGTCTGATTGTGTTGCTAATGCATCTGTATCACCTTGAGAGGAGGGTGCCCTCCTCTCAAGGTATCATTAAGTTCCTGAGCTGAAGCTGTTCAGTGTCTCTCACCCTTCCAGTTTGTTCCATTTTATGATGTTTATTCATAGTCATTTGATCTGACAAGTCTGTGTCAATATTTTTTGTCATTTTTATTGACAACTTTTATCTAATGTAAAAATGTGCAATGTCATCTTAAGGTTTCTGTGGCAGTGCATTAGTTACATGAAGATAAAACTCCAGCACACAAAGTAGGTTTTTTTCCCCTTGTAGTTGTATAATGTAGTCATTTTCTTTTGTCTGATTTAAGTATTTTCATGCTACCCTGTAGTCCCCTCTACACTAAGGCAGTTGTGAAAGTAAATTAGTTGCAGGTGTTGTCCAGTATTAGTGTTGTTACAAAATATAATTTTTTACTGCTGAAGGTATTGTTGATATCAGAAAACAAATTGAAATAATACTGAACAGAAGTATACTAATCATCGGGTATAAAAATATTGTAATTTCAGAAGGTGTCCCATAATCATTATATTTTTACATAGAGTAGAGTGATATTTTCAATATTTATGCATATGTTTGATTCAAGTTTTGATTGGTAAGAATATTGTCTTTGTTGATGGGAATCATGAAATTGTAGAAACATGATTTTCAACAATGAGGAGAAGTTGAACCAGTCTAATAATCTTGTGCACAAGACATCCACATGATGCTATCCTTCCATTTCTAGCTAGGAACATGTATATATTTTAGATGATTTTGGAGCACCTCTATTCAATGGAAAATGTTTGTGATGATAGTCATCTTTTGTGATTCTAGTCTTTGAAATGCTTCCATTTGAGTTTTGTTGGTTCATGTGTAGAAAATGGTATAGCACAAATCAATTTCCACTTTACAATGGCTAAAGGGTGAATGAACTATACATGAAGATCATTAATTTTTATATTGAAACTTTGTACTAATGTTTGTATTACAATTTATTTGACTGTGAAATGAACCGTTAGGTTTCACTGTTTTCTATGTGTGGAGTTCTCCGAGATGTTGAAAATATATAAATGATTCTTGTGTTATGTTATGGTAGTGTAACTTTCTTGGCTAGCTTTACATACTCCTGGCAGCTCATTGTCAACCTTTATATTTGATTCAGGAAACATCTTATCTGTATATCTGTGATAACTTGCCTGAACAAAGATAGTAGCCAGAGACGTACCAAATATCCTGCTGAATTTCAGAGGCCTCATATTAAAATAAAACTTAAAAAACTAAAAGTGTGTTGTCATGTGTAATTGAGCAACTGCTGCCTAATGGGGTGAGGGGAATACCGTGCGGATCTCCTGTATCACAATCAGCATTGAATAAGTCAACTTACCTGAATCGAGGATGACTTAAGGCAAACACATAGGGGTCAATACATGCCACCAATTTGCACGTACAGGCCGGAATCATGGTGATGCCAGGAGTGAGGAGCGCTCTAAAATCAAATAGCACATCACAACTCCCAATTTTTCATTCTTAATTAAGAAACGAAGGAAATGTTTTTTCGAAATTGGCACAGTGAACACACTGTGTACCGTTGCATTGAATATGGATTGAACATATGTACTGGTGAGATATCATACTTGTTTCCAAAAGCACCGGTCAGGGCGACGGCTGCGTATGGCGTCCAAGAGAGCACGAACAAGAAGCAGAGGGAGATGGCCATCTTGGCGATGCGAATTTCAGTCGATTCCTGGTTCTTGTCCGCGTTGGATCGCAGTGACTCCACGTTCATTTTCTTCGCCTGTAATCAAACGCCCCACCGCACTTTCTATCGTTCGTAGGATAGATATTTCTACTTGGTCCACATTCTTTCCACCTGGGAAAGGAAATAAATCGTGCACGCCTGCAGCAACGGAGTAAGTTCTCTAAAGGGCCCAGCCACTCGCCCCACAGTTTCTATGAGTTTAATTTACCGCACAACACGTTGTCTCTCGAACCCCTTTTACCTGGGCCTTGAGGGCCTTCTCGTGGGCAACGACGTGGCTGACGATCTGGGAGTAGAAGTAGATGATGAAGGACATCGGCACACAGTAGCAGACGCTGAACATGACCGCCACGAACACTCGAATGTGGGTGGTGTCCGTCAGGTAGTCGAAGGTGCAGCTGGTGAGGAAGCCCTCTGCAAGCAGCGAGCACCCGACAGTTAGTTCGGCAGCCTTCCAGAAAATCTGCCGCCACACTGGCCACACACGCCCTGCCTTGGAGCACTCTAGAGACAGCGCACCTGGCACGAAGCGGCCCCAGACCTCGAGGGCGGGGAACAGGGCCCAGGGCGACACCCACATCCAGATGAGCACCACGATCATGATGGCCTTCCCCCGCGTCATCTTGCTGCCGAAGGGCTTGGCGATGGTCCTGGAAGAGGCAGAGCGGGGTAGGGGCATTCGGGCCAGCGACACCCCCGAGCCAGGCTCGGCCAGGCTCATCGGGACTTCCCCGCTGGAGGGCGGCACTCACATGTATCTGTCGTAGGCGATGGCCGCGTTGGTGGCGCCGGCCCCGATGCCCGAGAACGAGCCCATGAGCCCAAACACGAGGCAGCCCATGGGCCCGCTCGCGTAGCCCAGGTTGAACGAGTTGTAGATGAAGATAGGCGTCTTCAACATCATCACGAAGTCGCACAGCGCTAGGTTCACGACGAAGATGTTGGACGGCGTCCGCAGATTCTTCGACCTGAGTGGCAAGGGGCGCGAGGTGGGACACAGTGAGTGGCCACGTCTTGGACCAATGTCTGCGGGATGCCGCGGGACATCCTCCGCGAGCACTCACGTGAGGAAGATGTAGATGACGATTCCGTTGCCCAGCACGGAGAAGAAAAAGAAAAAGCAGTACAGCAGCCCCAGGCCGTAGTTGACGAGGGGGTCGGGCTCCGGGTACCCCAGCCAGTGCGTTGGGACGTGCGGCAGGATTTCTGGGGGGATGTTCCATCCGAGCATGCGGACCTCTGACGGCCCGGACACCCCGGACACCCTGGAAGCAGGAGAAAGGGGCCGGTTGTTGTCTAGCGTCCACAGTCCGTGGCCCGGAACACAGGGGACTCGTTTCTTGGACTCGCGACTCACCTGGCCTCGGCCACGGGCTGCCACGCCGAGGCGTTGGAACAGTGCGCGCTTTCGGGGCTCTCCATGGCGACTAGTCTACGATCTAAAGAGCTCGCTGCTCCCCGCGCCGCCACTTTTATAACTTCGGGGGGTGGCCGCGCCAGCAGTGCCAGCTAGCGCGCCGTGCCTGGCCGCCCGGCCGCGCCCCGAGTCCCAGGGCAGCCAGGGCAGCCCCGCGGCCCTGCAGCCCTGCAGCCCTGCTCGGCCTGATCCACGATAAGCCGGCGGGCGGCGCGGGGCGAAACAGGGCCGGACACCATACCGACTCAATTCGATTATGATTTGTGGCGTTTGGGGGAGGGGGACTACCCTCATCACTAGCACCAGAAAAAGGGGTGACCTTTTAATAAGAACAATACGAACGCAAATCGCCCGACCAGCTACTCCACCCAATCCTAAAGCGGCCCGCTGTCAAAGTGTAAGTCAAACTAGCCACAGCAGGTAGGCTGGAGGGGAAGGGGGTCCACGTCGAAGGACGACCACGGAGAGCCCCCTCCCCTCACTCCCCCGCCACGGCCTGCAAACGCGGAGGGAAGTGCCACACCATCTCGCCTCGCGGGGGTGCTCGCTTGCGGCGGGGCGTGTCGGGTGCCCGCCCCGTGTTGTACAGCACGATTAATATGACTGGTACAAGCACCTCGGCAGCGATCGGGAACATGATATCTAGGTCAGGGAGCCTTGTTCAGAAACATATGCATAGTAAGCCACAGTCTGGCGGACACGTGGGGTTTCCTCCCTCCCCTCCCCCATTCTGGTTCTATCCAACAGATGAACCACCCCCTCGATGCCCCATCCACACGGGGTGAGAGAGTGGCGGAAAATATTTTCTCCGATTGCTCTGACTGCAGCCAGCCACGCCTCTTCCACCCCGCCCCGACGGCCCCGACGCGGAGCGGAGCGAGCGGAGCACTGCAGTCATAGCAGCCGAAGAAGTGCTGCGCTTGGCGGCGGTGTCCACGTAGCAAGCACAGGCTAATCGTCGGCCTGATAACGCCTTGCTCGCTGAGGTGGGGGATGCTGCTGTACTCATCGCGGCCTGCGTGGCGCTATGGCGCTGCCCCGGCGCCACCGCTCATGTCGCTACGGACGGAAGGCGCCTGGGCCGCTCGGCCTGGGCGCAGGGCTGCCCGTCCGTGGGACTTCCCCCGTCGCAGCGCGGCCACCCTGCTCGGCCCTGCTCGGCCCCGGCGGAGTGGCAGCGGCCGAGGGCGGTCCGCCCCGCCCTGCCCTGCCCCGCTGGATTGACCTCGTTTCGCACCTCGGCGTGCGCGGTGCGCGTGGGTCCGCGGTGCGTGGCGGCGCGGCGCGGTGGCCCTTCCCTGGCGCCGCCGCTCCGAACGCCTCGTTTCCGCCAGGGCTGCCAACGCCGCCGCGCCGCAGGGGGCGTCCGCAGCGTCCGCAGCGGCGTCGCCCGCGGCACCTTGTTGCGACGCGACACCTCTGAACGGTCGCGGCGACGCCCCAACGTCGCGTTTGAACGGCCGCGAGCTGGCCGGGTGCCTTCTGCGGCCACGCGCAGAGTCGCCAAGTGCTCGACAACCGCGTGGCGGTGGCAGCGGCCCGCCCGCTCGGCCAGCAACTTCCACGTCTTCACGTCGACGGTGACGTCTACGGCCGCCGCCACCGCTGCCGCTGCAGCAGCACTGGCCAGTCCAGCCGGGCGCCCGCTAACCCTCCGCTCTGCTCTTTCACATCGGGAGGTCGTCTGTCACAGTGCGCGTGTCTTGCGTCGCCGGGTTTTCTTCGGCTGCAACGAAAATGCAGAAACTTTTACTTTTGGTGTTGCTGGTTTTACCGGCCGTCCTTTTTACAGTGAACGGAGGTAAGATTTGTTCCTGCAGTGGAGAAACACTTGGGTGCCGGGTGCGTTACTGAGCCCGGAGGGCCTCGTAGTCGTGACCAAAATACGTGGCATATGTAGACTTGTTTACGTATGGTGTTTTCCAGTTTTGAATTGATCCTCCTCGATGCTTTATTGATTTAAATTTAACCACTGTCCCCATACCTAAATTTGTCTCGCCTGAATTTTGAAATAAATTTGATTCAAGAGTTTGCCAGATGTTGAGCTCCACTTTTGCATTACTCCTCTACAAAAGTTCTTAATAATTACACTAATTAGTAAATAAGAATTTTGAAGCACCACTTTGTATCAGTTAGATTTATTTCCTTACTTTATTTACTGAAGGTTCTTTCATAAATAGTTGGTATACACCATGTCCATGAATATAGGTTATCTCTGATGAATTTTGGTTTCTCTGTGGAATAGTACTGCAAGAATTCTAAACTTCACAATAAACTCGGCCACTTTAACTAATATTCAGTGCAGCATTTAAGAAAATAACCTTGCGAGCTATTGTGTTAATAATGCAGAACGGTAACTGTTACCGAGTGTGTCTCACCTGTCGTTTCTTTTCCAGGTAACAAATTTGTTGCTTTCGCTCAAGATGATGATGAAGAATTAGTTGATGTTGAGGAGGCTGATACTGCTGTCAAGGATGAGGGGCCCACTGAAGGAGAAGATGAGACAGGGCTGAAAGCGTCGCCAGATGCAGACACGACGATATTGTTTGTGAATCCAGTAACTGTCCCTGGTGCTCCACTAGGTACGTATGATGTAACTTCATCAGCTCTTTAGTCTGTTTCCCTTCTACCTTGAGCTTCTCGTTTTGATAGAATGGTTCAGAAATATTTTTGTTTCATGGATGTTTCAAAGATTTTAATATCTTACAAGGCTCTCTTTTCTTTATTCCAGTACGGCAGTAGGATTTTTATAATTTTCTATGCATTAATGGGTTTTTTAAATAATGCTAACTTTTGTTTGATTTTATTTTTCAGATCTTCCTGCTGGTAAAATTGCTGAGTTTGTTATTGGTTTCCATAACAAAGGCAAGCAAGACATGGTTCTGGAGATGCTTGATGCATCTTTCAGGTATGCCATGGACTACAACTTTTACATGCAGAACTTCTCCACCATTACATACCAGCAGACCGTCAAGCCCGCACAGGAAGCTTCAATCATGTACTCTTTCATCCCAGCTGAATCCTTTGCGGGACGTCCTTTTGGATTCACTGTCAACCTCCACTACAAAGATGCTGTAAGTCTATTCTTGCTGCTAATTTTCTCTCACTTCTATGCAGCATTTAATAATGCAAGACATGTTTCGACTTACTGTTCCCTGATGTTCTTCACAGAATGGTTTAGTCTTCCGTGAGGCCGTGTTCAATGAAACTGTGAATGTCATTGAGATTGAGGAAGGTTTGGATGGAGAAACTTTCTTCTTGTATGTCTTCCTGGCTGCATGTGTAGTCCTTCTCCTTGTTGTCGGACAGCAGTTCTTGTACTCTGTTGGCCGCTCCTCGCGCGGCGGCCGCAGCCGCAAGGCCTTTGAGACTGGCACTGACAACAAAAATGATGTTGACTATGACTGGCTTCCTCAGGAGACTCTCAACAGCATAAGTAAGTAGATTGCAATCCAAACCATGCTTCTATGTAAAAATTAACTTTTTACTACGGTTTAAGTATTTACTAAACTTTGGTTATTTTTACAGAGAATTCATCTCCCAAGACACCTAAATTGAGCCCCAGATCACAGAAGCAGAGCCCAAAGCTGAGGAAGACCAAGCGTTCTGCCGGTGAAGATTGAGAATCCTGTGATATCAGTGTTAAAAATTCTGCCACAGCTCATGGACTACATGAAGACTCATCTCCTGTGGCTTTGCAGTAAATCAGATATCATGGTCCCAGACCACATTATTTATGACAGACTGAACTTACTTGACAGAACAGTTGATTATACACGATTCCATACTGTGCATAAAGTTAATCCAAGCTCATTTTTGATGCACAAATCTAAAATATTTTTTAAAAATCATATGTTGTGTCATTTCTTTTGTATTAACTTATGTTATTTTTTATGTTGACTGAAAATGCTATTGAAACTTGGAGGAGAAAAAAAAAAGGGAAAAACAGCCCCACATAGGGCAAGGTTGTGCAGAATTTTGTTTTGCAACTTAGCTTAATGACTGTGACCACATGCCTAAATTTATGAACTTAATTTAAGTTACAATATAATAATACCTTTGATGAAATGTTCTTGCTGAATGGTACACTGGCAATGTAATTTGTCTTTAATTTGTTATTTTGTAATAAATTAAGTCAAGAAATATTGCATTAAAACTTTTGGCTGTGTAGAAGTGTACTATCAGCAGAGTTCTCTTGATTCTACTCAAGCAGTGTTCATAATTTTATGAATTTGACATTTCTTTACATGTGTGAGTGAGTTTAGTGAAAATGTGTGCAATATGTTTGTCCTTCTTGTATCAGTATGTTTTAAATGAGCCTTGTTAGATCTCAGTTGTTGAGAGCTAATCACTAGAGTGGTTAAGCTTATTTTCTGTTTTATTAAGTGTTTCTGATGTAATATATTTATTATAATATACATATGTATATTGAGATTTGAGATAAATGAAGAGTGATAGTGTTCAAAAAGCACTCTACCAGGGATACTGATTTCATTCAACCACATTTTAGCATTCAATTTTGCTTTTTTTTGTGGTGGGCGTTTCAATCTTGTTCAAAGCCCTCAGTGTTTCAAGGTAGAGACTAAATCTCTTCATTTGACACTGAATGTCCTCTGTGAGGAACTGTGACCAGTTTTCTGTTACTCGGCAGGCTCCTTTCTGTTTCATAAACTGAACAATGAATGTGATGATATAAGTTCATTCTATTTTAAGAACAGTCTTAATGAAAACTGTTCAATAGCACATAAGTCTAAGTTGCAAAATGAGATTTGTGGGCTTGAAAACTATGGATTGTGTAAACTGTTTGTGGAGGAAGACAAATAAAGTCCTATGAGACAAACAATTAATTTGGATTGATCACTGAGCCCGCCCTCTAAATTTACCTGCACCTCTTTTGGTCAAAAAATGCCGGTATGGTCAAACTACTGTCAAGAGGTAAAGGACAGCAGTACAAACAAGTATCAAACATTTGGGTTACAATTGACATGTTAGAGAAAAGAACAAAATCCTTCAAAGGACAGCAATTTCTGGCAAACGAATGATCCCACTACCCTACCCACACCCACTCGATAGGGTATGCCATCCGCGATAGACGGGCGAACTGAGGTAAAGAGACAAGACATGAAGGCTAAATGGTATGCAAAAGGCGAGGATGGTTTATTGATGCAGCGCGCGATATCACAGTCGGGAGGCGGACGAATCAGAAGCGGCGGAAGCCCTGGAACGGCTGGAAGGCCTGGGGCTGCGGCCGCTGGAAGGCCTGGAAGCCTTGGAAGGCGGGGGCGGCGCGCTGCTGGAGGGGCTGGAAGCTGTCGCTGCTCGAGGTGGCCGAGCTGCGCGCGATGAGCTGCAGGGACTGCTGGATGGCCTCGGGGACGGGCGGCGGCTGCGGCAGGTGGGCGCCGGACGCGCGGTAGCCATTCTCGTCGGCCACGTAGGACACGGTGTAGACCTGGCCGTCGGGGCCCGTGTACGAGTACTGGCCGGTGACGGCGGTGGCGGGGCCGTCCGCGCCGTCCGCGTCCCTGGAGCTGGAGCGCACCGGAGTGCCGCGGGCCTCGGAGCTGATGCCGTCCTCGGTCTGGTAGGCGTACTGGAACTGGCCGTCGGGGCTCACGTCGCTGCTCAGGCGCAGGATCTGCGGGTAGCGCTGCTGGGCCGACGCGCACGACAGCGCCGCCAGCACCGCCAGCACCGCCAGGCAGACGGACAGCACCTGGGGGACACGCGAACATGGAGAGGAGTCGTCACATTAGGGGCGCTGGAAAAGCGATCCTGGAGTCCAGAGGCCAGGTAGACCACCGTCTCCACACCGGAGCGTTGCGGCTCAGGGGGGAGAGGGGAAGTCAGCGCTTTCTCACCTGAGAGTTCATGTTGAGGATGTGTGAACGGGAGGCCTCGAAGCACCGGACTGTGCCGGCCGCCGCACGCCCCTGCCTTTTATGCCGACCTCCCTCGCGACCTGCTCCGGTCCAGCGCGCCCGCCGCGCAGCTCCCCCCCCCCAAAATCCATTGTGAGGATGAAAGGAAGAGGGAGCCGCAAAACACCGGACAGGCCACCGGACCGAAGTGCATCTGACACTGACCCGAGGCAGGGTCCCCGGCAAGGGCCGCCGGCCGGCCCGTCGCCCCTCGCCTCGCGGCCGGTACGGACGAGGACGAGGACGAGCATCGGGCCGGCACACTGCAGACTGCAGTCGCCCTTGTCCCTGCCTGCCCCTGTCCGGCCTGGCGCGGCTTGTTACTGGTGGAGAGAGCAGGGCCGTTGGGTACTTGCCGGGCGCGTGACAGGCGCGTGACAGGTACCACCCTCGAGTCTCTTTGCAGGGGCGCGCACCGCGGTGCGGCCGGCATGCCTGTGCACTGTTCAACACTCTAGAGAGGCAGCGCCGAGCAGCTCGCCGTCCTTGTTCCTCTTCTGCTTATCGGCGCGAGCATCGCCGCACCGCCGCATCGTCACCTCCTCGCCTGGATGTCACTGGATTGACGGGGCGACAGTCGAACTGCAGGGCTGCGTGTGCGTCGCGGCCCGGGGACTGGCCAGGGACCAGGGAAGGCCCTGGTGGTGACTCGGACACTCGGACGCGGCCCGCAGAACAACGACAAAATGCCAAGGCGACCGGACCGGCATCGGCATGGCCGCGGTGCTGAGCCGCTGGGCGACGCGATGCGACGCGATCCCCAAAATGAAAAAAGCGGACCGGGCCTGTGTTGGGTCGGCACGGCGGCACGGCGGCACGGTCCCGTCTCTCATCCTCGCCGGGTTGGGCTGCCCTCGGTGCCCTCCGCGTCGACCCCCGCAGCACCTGCCTTGCAGCCTTCGAGGCCTACTACCACCGCCTTTTGATGGGAAGTCCAATTTCATAGCTGTGCGAGGCTGCATCTTTAGTCGAGGGAGGGGGAGGCAAACGTTGGTCCGTGCGTGTGACAAGACACTGGGCAGATCGGATGACCCCGGACCGCTGGTTCCCTCCTCCCCTCCCGGCACCGGGCGCGCCGGGCCGGTCCCGAAATGCAGCTCCGAAACGGATCGGTCCACCTCGCGTCCCGTCGAGGCGTTTCGGTTTTGGTATAAAACGGAGACGACCAGTTGGGCGGCACACTCCTCGTCCATCACCGGCAGCCACTACACCGCTACCACCACCGCCATGAACACCAAGGTACGACTCGGACTCGGGGGGCCGTTCGCTAAAAACTATAGTATTACCGTAGTTTTGCCAAAAGTTCGCTGTTTTGTGGTTGCAATGTGACATGCTGACGGCTTGCTGTCCCCCAGGTGCTGTCCGTCTGCCTGGCGGTGCTGGCGGCGCTGTCGTGCGCGTCGGCCCAGCAGCGCTACCCGCAGATCCTGCGCCTGAGCAGCGACGTGAGCCCCGACGGCCAGTTCCAGTACGCCTACCAGACCGAGGACGGCATCAGCTCCGAGGCCCGCGGCACTCCGGTGCGCTCCAGCTCCAGGGACGCGGACGGCGCGGACGGCCCCGCCACCGCCGTCACCGGCCAGTACTCGTACACGGGCCCCGACGGCCAGGTCTACACCGTGTCCTACGTGGCCGACGAGAACGGCTACCGCGCGTCCGGCGCCCACCTGCCGCAGCCGCCGCCCGTCCCCGAGGCCATCCAGCAGTCCCTGCAGCTCATCGCGCGCAGCTCGGCCAGCTCGGCCACCTCGAGCAGCGACAGCTTCCAGCCCCTCCAGCAGCGCGCCGCCCCCGCCGCCCCCGCCTTCCAAGGCTTCCAGGCCTTCCAGCGGCCGCAGCCCCAGGCCTTCCAGCCGTTCCAGGGCTTCCGCCGCTTCTGATTCGTCCGCCTCCCGACTGTGATATCGCGCGCTGCACCAATAAACCATCCTCAACCACCATTACGTGCTTGTCCAAATTCCATTCACCTTCTCGTCACCGTTGAGAGCCGCTGGGCTACTGCCGGCTACTGCCGGCTGCTGCAGATGCCTCAAGTGTCTTCAGCATTCAAGTCCCACCGGCACTGTGGAGGCCAAAGGACGGCGTGTAGAATGGGTTGCCTGCTCGGCCGGCGTGCCGCGAGCCGCACTGTGTTTCCCTAGTGCAGGATGGAGGTTGAAGAAACTCAAGTCCTGGACAGGCCCACACTGACTTTATTTCAACTACAAACAGACAAGAAGTTGGCAACACGGAGAGCAGTAGAAGACAGCGTGATATCGAACACCCTAAATGCATCGAAGAAGGCAGACTTTGACAACAAGATTTAGTATCTCAAATTATTTCTTCAAACTCTGATATGTATTGGTAGTAAAGTAATAATATCATGGTCGTAGAGAGACGCAGACCTCGCCTGAAACGTTCGTCAGGATCTAGAACAACCCCCGATGTCGAATCCAATTTGTTCCCCCAATGTTAAAGTCGGAGTGGTCATCCCGTTCCTCACTTAACTAACGCTTTGCTCACTTATATCTACTGTATTTACAATTGGGAGTACTATTCAAGACAGCATGTTAATTCCTAATTAGTCGATAAAGGTCAAGCCTGCGAGCGCTGTCCTGAACGATACCCCCGGTGTGCTGCCCGGAAGAAAGGCAACTCAACGCTTCGGCACAACCAATCCGCTAGATTTGCTGGTTGTCCCAGAATTAACCGAAATTTTGATTCGACGTTTCTTAGCGGGCATCCGTGCACACCACCACAGCACCAAGGAACCATTTAATAAAGGTTATATGCTCTCATACTGTGTGACGTTGAAGGGGAGTCGTGCGGAGCGACGTCCCCCTCCCATTGCAGTGCGGCGTCCTAGAGGCGCTAACGGGCGCTGAGGCGAGACAAGGGCCGAAGGCTGAAGTAGCCGCCAAAACGCCAAAAGACCCGCCCAGTTTAAGTTTCAGTCGAAGGGAAGGAAGTTTTGGCGGGCCCCTCTGTGCCTCAACCGCGGCAGCCACGGAGTCATATTGTTGTTAACATGACGACACACTAAATTACTACGTAGTTTCGTTGCACAAAATGGAGCATGCTCGCTAAACGTACGAATCCATGAGCAACAACGCACACTTTCGTGCTTAACGCACAAATTCGTGCATTCTAAAACTCATGCCCAATTCTGTGCAAAGCCTATACACAAAGAATACATAGTGATGAAATGTATACGAGCCAATTCGATGTTGACATGACTTTGAGTGGCTTGGTTATGACTCGGCCACTTTGGTGAGCGGTGAGGCGCCCCGCCACTTGCGCCCTATTCGGGCCCCCAGGGCAACATGCTCTGCTGGGATACAGAATGCGTAGATAATAAACAAATTATAAAATCTTTCCCGCCAAAAGATGTTTTCTAACTAACACTACCACTAACTTACACTAAAGATGGGCTCGTCGGCCAAGACACCGCGGCTTTCTGAGGAAAACTTGCGCGGTGTTTTGACTGGCAGTCCCGGTGTGGTGCACTGCCGCACTAGGCAGGTGCACCGACACAGCCGCCTCGTTGGAAGGTACTTCCTTGTGGTATTCTCAATGCCAGGTGGAGAGGTGCCGTACGGTGCGACACCCCCTTCCCATAGGGAGCAGAGCGGCGTCCAAGGGGCGCCCAAAAGCGCGTTAGCGCCTTAGAGGTGACCAAGGAACCGCCAAAACGGCCGCTCGAAATCCGCCAAAAAAATGCGACGAGTGGCAGTTTTGACGGCTCTCCGACGCTTGTGGGCTGCATCTCTCGTTTTGCGCTTTCTGGCGCCCTTTGGAACGCTACTTTGCCGGGAAATATAACGCGTAGATTATAAACAAATTAAAAAATCTTTCCCGCAAAAGACGTCTAAGTTTATCGAATACTACACTACGATTTACAGATGGGTGAATCGGCCAAGACGGAGGAAAACCGAACCGGGTGTTTTGGGTGGCCTCAGACTCCGTTAAGTTGAGAAAATAGAGGTAACTTGGTTCTGCGGACTACTTGCTAATCTTATACTAAATATACCAAATATACTTTATGTATACTAAATATTCTAAAGTCATATGTACATATTTCAGGGCATATGGTGGCCGGGTAGGAGGGGTTCCTCTTACTCCTTTTACTAACACTACGAGACTTCAGATGGGGCGTCAAGGTGAGGTCTCGAGACGGTCCCCACCTTGCGCCTCTTACCCTGGAGCGATCCCGAGGAATGGTGAGATTTATTATTGCCTAGAGCGAAATGTGGAGACCGAGGGGCCTCGCCGTAGCGACGACGGCGACCCTCGGGGAACCTCCACAATACAGTAGCATGCATCGGAACAGTTCTGGGGTTTGCCCTCTAGAACCGAATGGGAAAATTAATGAAACTCGAAATGAAAACCTTAGTCTAGAACACTGTACAGCCTAACGTAGCTTAAGATATTTACACGTGCGGCCCCTAGTGGGCCATTTGCGTCCGACCGGAGACCGACAGCGGTGCCGTCGATGCGACCGGTCAATGGACTGTATGGAGCAATGTGTCTCGCCGCGTTTTGCCACAACCTGCGTTTCCGCGAAATTGTGGTCTTCTCTCTCTCTCTCTCTCTCTCTCTCTCTCTCTCTCTCTCTCTCTCTCTCTCTCTCTCTCTCTCTCACTCACTCACACTCTCTCTCACTCATCTGTTTGATTGAAGCGTCTTTTCCAGGCGGGGACTGCGCAACGCTACGCCAAGCCAGGGCGGGCCGAGGCGGGCCGAGGTAGGCAACTCCTTCGACACCAACGCGTCAAATGCGCCGCCCACCATAGGCCCACCCAGGCCCGCAGGTAAGCATGGCAACAAATTGAAATTCAAAGAAAATGTTTCGTATTCTGAGGAATTGCATTATTTCGTTCGTTCATTCGTTTTCGTAAAGTCTGCCTCCTTCTTGGTGCTTTCGACTGCAATCTTTGCATCGACAATGAGAGATATTGAATCATCAAGCGAAGTTGAGTGTTACGCACCGTTCTCCGAGCTGCCTTGCTTGTAAGATATTGATAACAGTAAACAATACCTTTCCCAAGTGAGGAAATAAAAAGTTCGCAGAGATCAAGTCACAGTAAACTTAACAAATAATAAAAACCTTACAACAGTAACAAAGAAGATGCAACGCACATAATATAACAACCACTCTGGGGAATGCCAAAGACGGCTGCAACCGGAATGAGAAGAAATGTCATATCTTACGAGAAATAAGCAGTGCAGATGCGTAATCTGTCCCGCCGACTTCTCATAAAATCTTTGATTTCCGACCGCACACTGAATGCTTGCGGACTTTTTGTTCATAACTAATACCATACTTATGCACACATAAGTTATGTAGAAATTTTTGTTATAAACCAGAGACAATTTTTCAAATACCTAAACACAAGATAGAAAAACTGTCGCCATTTTACGTACTACATTACATACATAGCTTACACATGCACTAATATCGCAATAGTCATGGACATAAGCACATAAACATTTAGTGTGAGCCGTTTCGGTTCTTCTCTCTTCCCGTCCAAGCCACTTTGAAACACCCTTAAGGGTAAAATAACATACACAATGTACAAACGCAGAAAAATATACAAGAAAATTGTTCCGGAGGCGCCAAACGCTGCCGCCACAAAGTATTGCACACTGAATCGTTGTGCACTTTTTGTACGTAAGTGAAAAAGGCGTGGGCCCGAACACTAGAGACTATACACAAAGTGCCACAAAGCACCGAAATGCAAAAACAGAACCAATCGTCGCCTCGGAAGAAGCCTCGCTGATGAAATGGAGGGAGTTGCACACAGGTGACGCGTGAAGCAACATTTCAAGCTGGTCAAAGAAACGACGTCTTATGTTTAGAGTATTGTAGAACGTACAAACATCAAATAGCACGCACAAAAACCTTTCACAGAGTTCTACAGCACTGTTGATGCCCACTTGTCCCCTGAGATATGAAACGAGGAATTTTGTGGTGAATTTGATCCAAAGATTGATTTAAAATCGACAAATACCGAATAGAAAATACATTTGTCTCAAAGCACGAAAACAGGTAATTATGTTTTGACTATGTCCTCAATATTGTAATGCTGCAGAATTCTTCGCAAGATTTTTGAGTGCTTCAGGAAAAGTTTACACCGATTAAACACGACGAACTAAGCGAGCAATGGTGGTGCTCTTTTTGAGAAACTTGAGGGACGCCTTGTCTCCCAAACGCTTGAAGTGAAACAGGGGTCTCACAGAGCAGAGAACGACGTGCACCGGGCGGCAGGGTGGCAGGGCGGCATAGGGCGCTCTCGGTTGCACTCACGCACGCTCACGCACTCCTCGTGGTGCCGCCTCTCTCTCTAGCCCGCGGGCCGTGTCTGACCGTGTCTGGCCGTGTCTCCGACTCCACGAGACCCCTGAGGGTAGCAAGCCACCATAAGTCGACCACGACTCACGAAGGGGGGATGCTGGCGTTTCGTTTCGTTCGCAACTAGACTTAAGAGACAAATTACAAAAATAAGAACAGCGCAGTCGTCTACGTCGCCTGGGCGGGTTGGAGCAGCGCTGAGTCGGACAGCAGAGTCTCTTCTCTCGAGCTTGGTTAGGTTGGTCTCGGTGGTCTTGTAGGGGGCTCCTCAGTGCGTCTTGGCGTACGTGTCCTTGTCCTTGTAGCCCGACACGTAGCCCGACGCGTCCGGGAGGTCCTTGCGGCCGGCGATGCCGCGGCCCTTGCCGGTCTCGTCGAAGCGCTGCTTGTGCGAGCCGGTGTACTTGGTGACGTCCGTGAGCCGCTCCACCGCGGCGTCCGCCTTGGACTTGGCCTGCAACAACAGACAGGTCAGGCCTGGTCTAGCGCCGTGCGGTCTAGCCCTTAATGGTAATGGTGCGGGTAGGCAGCCCCCGACCCGCACACGCCGCTGCGTTGCGGCGCGGCCTACCCTGCTCTTGGCAGGGGCCCAGCTTGAAGGGGCGAGGGGCTGGGAGGGGCCTTACGCTAGAGGGGGCTGGGCCTGCTGGGGCCTGTTGGGGCCTGCTAGGGCCCGCTGCGCCGCGGCAGGCGCACCACAGCGCAGCTAACCCAGCTAGCCCAGCTAGCGCAGCTGCCCCGACCGCCGCTTCCGCTCGCCCAGGCTCACGCTCAGGGTCACGAACGGGGCTAAACTTACTTCCTCATTCGCGGACCCCTCCCTCCGCACACACTGCGCCATGCCCATGGCCTGCCCGTGGCCTGCGCACGGCCTGCCCGGCGCCCACTCATGGATGGGTTATTTCGGCGTGCCCCCACCCCTTCCCCCTCCGGCAAGGATAAGGCTGGGACAAGGCCAGGCACCTACCACTGCACTCGTCACGCCGGGCGCCCCGCACTCGGTCATCTTCTTCTTGATCTGCTCGACGTCCACTTTGCGCGTCTTGGCTAGGTCATCTATGAACTTAATGTAATCGGCCAAGGTGATCTTCTGGAGCCTGCAACGGAAAAACGGGTGCTATTAGATTTTCGTACATTTTCATCAGAATGTTTGTTTTGAAATTCTGCAAAAGGCTCGCCCAAACTACAAAACAAATTTATCCTCGTTAGAATAGGCAACGCTTTTAGAAGCCCTGCCTCCTGGCTGGCCAGCACGGCGGGGAGGACCAAGGGGAGGACACTCACTTGAACTTCTTGAAGTGGATGCCCGTGTCCGTGGTGGTTATGGTCTTGGGGTCGATCACCTTAGCCTGCTTCATCCACTTGTCGCTCTGGGACAGCGTGATGGCCTTGCCGTCGCTCTTGGTGTCTCCGAACTTGCTGAAGGCCTTGAACTGCTCCTTGAAGGCGGCGCTGGGCGGAGAGCTGGCCGCCGGCGGCGGGGTGGCCGTGCCGTTGGCGGCGTCCTTGGGGGCGTCCTTGGCGGCCTCCTTGGGGGCCTCGGACGGCGCCTTGCCTGCGATAACGGGGCGTCGTTACAGCATTTCAATGCAGGCCGGCAGGCCGTTGTATCGACCCTCGCTTCCTGCGGCGTACTCCCCGACGCAAACGCGCCACACTACCACTCCACACATCGCCGAATTAAATTTATTTTCACGAGCACAATTTGAGGAATGGGCATATTTGACTGCGGCAGACTCACCTTGGGCGCTCGGCTTTGGTTCGGAGTCGGCCATGGTCAGCAGGGAGCTGTAACAACAACGCCGACGCAAAACATTAGAACAGGAAATCCGCGGATATCGGATGCCATCGGGTCGGCAAAAATGAGAGAGTACCGCGGCGGGGCGCGAAGCGAATCGCCAGAGGGAATGGAAAGGGCGGGGCGCGATGGCTGGTCAACACGCCACGGCACGCCACGGCACGCCACTGGAGCGAGGAGCATGGGAGTCGCTGGAGGGGAGCCTCTGGAGGCGCAGGTGGTTCGGCATAACGCGGCGGCAAACTCAGCCGTCGATTTGAGGATTAAAAATAGCACTGCCCCCTCTATCCACTATCATCAGCACAAAGGCCGTTCTCGCCCTCCTCCCCAATGTGACCACAAGGCCCTGCTCTGCACCCGAGTCTCACCCCTTTACTCCCGCTCGCAGAGTTTGTGGAAATCACCTGGTTATACAGTCCCCCACACAGGATGCGTTTAGTGACACACTGGCGAGTCGATAGTGCCAGCCAATGCCGCGCTGCGCAGCGCTGCGCTGGACAGTGGACAGTGTCCGGTGGAAGCTCGTCGAGTCGATGGCACCTTCCCTCCCCGCCCCTCCCCGCGTGCTGCGCGTCAACCCCGTGCGGGTTGACTCACGACATGCGACCCTACCGCGCCGCGCCGCGCCCCGCCGCACCCCTCCGCGCGGCACGCACTGCAAGGACGACGCGCAACAACCCCCGCTGACCTACTTTCCACCCCCGCCACCACCCCGCAGCGCCTAGCGCCGTTATTCACAGCGCAGCCCGTTGTGGCGTCGCACGTCCGCCCCGCCCCGCCTTGCCCCGCCTTGCCCCGCCTTGCCCCGCCGCTGCGGCACTTGCCCTGGCCAGCCCCGCGAGGGCCCCACGGGGGGTATGACATATTCAGCGCACCCCTGCACGTGCCCGGGGCCTTCACGGGCCGGCCCTTTCAGGCTTGCTTTGGGCATGCTTTGGGGCGGCGTCCGCCAGCCCGCCGCGGCCGCACCGCCCCATCATGCCCTGGCATGCTCCAGGCGTCAAAGCACCGGTTCCTGATTGGCTGTCCCTCATCGACCATCCACCCCGCACCTCGCCGACCGCCATTAATCTTGCACGAGTCCGCCTCGGGCAAGCCATAGCCGTGGTAGGCTAGGCCGTGGTGGGCTAGGCCGTGGTGGGCTAGGCCGTGGTAGGCTAGGCCGTGGTAGGCTAGGCCGTGGTAGGCTAGGCCGTGGTAGGCTGGGCCGTGGTAGGCTAGGCCGTGGTAGGCTGGGCCGTGGTGGGCTAGGCCGTGGTGGGCTAGGCCGTGGTGGGCTAGGCCGTGGTGGGCTAGGCCGTGGTGGGCCAAAATGGCAGGTCAGGCGCCAGGCTGAGCCGTGGCTGCGTTTGTAGTCATTCATTAGCTCCGCAGGACCCTAAATGACGCCTCGAACCCGAAACTCCTTCCTGCCGAGAGGAAATTGGCAATACTGGCTCCCCCTCCCCTTTTCCAGTCGTGTCGGTAATTAGCAGCGTCTGGCTGGAGAGGGTGTGACAACGCCCCGGTTGGCTTGCCCCCTCCCCCCTCCCCCTCTCCAGTCTATTCAGTGCCAATCCAGCTTCTACCGGCAAGACCCAATCAGCGACGTCGCTCCCCGCCCGGCCACGGCGCCACGGCCCAGCCGACCCGAAGCACCGGAGCCACTTCCGATGGGGTGCCGGCCGGTTGGCGCGCTCAGACCCCCTTGGGGACTTTTAATTCGGTTTTCTTTTTGCCGCGTTGCTTCGCCTGGATTGGGGGATTGGTCTCCGATAATCTGATAACGGCGAACAGCCTCGTCTGGTCGCAAATCTCGTCTCGGCGCGGAGCAAGATCGGCCGCACCGGCCGCACCGGCCGCGCGGCGAAGGGGAAAGGGGGAAGGGGGAGGGGGAGGGGGGCTAATGGGCCAATTGTTTGGTGCACGCAGGGCGGAGTAACGCGTGGGGCCTGCCACATGTGGGGCGCAGACACGGACGGACGGACGGGCGGACGGACAGACGGACAGGCGGCGGGGGAATGGCAGTGGCGTGATTAGCATCTCCGGCCGCGGTGCGTGGCGCGTGGCGCGAACTCACACGTCCCGCCGCGTAAAGTAAACTGCTCCACGTACCGCCGTCGGAACAGAACACCAACGACTTGTTTTCTTTCCTGAGAATATCGCGTTGGGCGCCCTGCCGCTGGGCACAGCAGAGAGTCTGAAGGCGGCCTCCGAGTTTCCGACGCAAAGACGTGGAACGGCGAGACGACGAGGCCGAGCCGGGCCTGGACCAGACAGGCAGACTTGTGATTGATTGGAGGCAGGGCGGTGTCTGCTCAACCCCCCACCCCGCCTCACCCTGCCCCAACCAAACCCGCCCCACCCCGTCCCGCCCCGGCCCGGACACAGCTCGCGTCCCCGGCAACAGTGCGGAGCGCGAAGAGCGGCGAAGAGCGGCGAAGAGCGGCGCGCGACCTGCGCCGCCCCGGGAGAGTGCGTGCGCTTCGCCCTCGCCCTCCGCCCCGCCTCCCCGCCCGGGACAGACGCGAGCTCGATCGATTAGCGGCGCGAGACGGGGGCTGGCCGCACGGCCCGGCCGGGCCTGACGGACGGCCGTGCTGCCGAGCGATTCCGAAAAGGGGACGATTGGTCCTCTGTCTCTCTCGAAATGACAGGCGCGCCGCGTAGGTGCGAGGGCGACAGAGTGGCGGGACAGGGAGCGGAGTCAGTGAGCACTGCAGCCACTGCAGCCGCTGCAGCGCCTAACGTGGGAACGAAGGAACGAAGGAACGAGCGAAGAAAGCCTGTCCTGTCAGTTTGGCGAGGCACCTCCCACGCCTCGCCTCGTGTGTGGCCCTCTGCCATGGCCCTCTCGGCCCGCGGGAACGGATAGTGCGCTCCACGCTTCGCTTTTCGGCCGGCAACGCGCAACTAGTGTGTCTGTGTCCCTTTCCCTTTGCCCTGCGAGTGAGAGTGGCGTGCCGGGCCCGTCGGCCCAGCAAGGGCCCAGTCGAGGCCTAGTTGGGCCGACCCCGGCTGGCACACGCTTCAAGCTCGCGAGGCAGTCGGCAGTCGCATCGAATGGCCGGTCCTCCGAACGAGGAATCTGCCTCTAACGGCCGCAAGAATGGCTGGCTGTTCGCTTCCCGTTGTGGGCGTCACTCCCAGTCACTCCCAGTCACTCCCAGTCACTCCCAGTCACTCCCTTCGGCTCGCCACGGCGCCACTCCAGGTTCTGCCTCATTACGACGATTGACACGGACTAGCGCCCCCCACCACCGAGCCGTACCGACGGGTACCGACGGGTACCCACACTGTACGGGCTGGGCGCGGCGCGTGGCACCAGTGTATACCGAACCATGGCGTCACCGGCCGCATGGGCCGCACTCACTAGGCAGCCTCGCGACCTTGGGTGAGGAGAGGAGAGGAGCACTGCAGCAAACAATGAGCCTCGGTCCGGGGACACGTCCTGGGACACGTCCCGGGGCAGTGCACCCTCCTGGGGCCCGGCGAGGTGCCGCGCCCGCACCCCGCCCCGCCCCGGCCCAGCCCAGCCCAGCTCACCTGCCCCGACCCTCCCCCTCCCCCTGGCCCGAGCCCCGGCCGTTGCTCAACGCCTCCGCGCGCCCCGCGAGCTAGCCGAGCTAGCCAGCCCTGGAAAGGCAGATAAGCCAATTCGGTGGTCGGGTCCCTCCACTGACTACAGCACGGTGCACTCATCGCGTGACGGGGCGTGATTCTCGCCGCCATGGGCGTGGCGAGGAATGGAAGCCACTGTGGGGCGGGGCGGGGCGGGGCGGGGCGGGGCAACGATTCCTAGCGTGCGCCATCCTATCAGCCAACGCGACCACAAGTGACTGTTCTCTTCCACGCTCCGCCAGCGACCTAGAGGCTGTTTTACTTTCACGCCTGTTTGCGGGCAGGTCGGGCACGGCAGGCCGCGCTCGCCGGGCCGGGGTGGGCCGGGCCGGGCCGGGGCCACAAGCCAAAGGCTCGTGTAAGCGAAGGCAGGGGAGCTTCAGCTTATCAACAGGTCAGAAAGAACACGCGACCGGCGCAGAAAAGAAGGAGAAGAAGAAGAAGAGAAAAGGCGGGGTGAGCCCTCGAGCGAGGGTGCTGTACTTGCCGCACTGCCGGGGCGTGGCCGTCGCGGGGCGCTGCTGGCTGTTGTGCTGCTGGCGCTGCTGGGAAGGTGGTGGCGGTGCAGCGCTGCACCCGGTGCACGTCCCCGTAGCGCGCTCCCTGCCGACTGGGCTGACTGGCGGCCCGGCCCGGACCAACCCCGTCATGGTCGATGCGGGAAGCTGGGGACGGCTCCCGGCCCGGGTCACGGGGAGGTTGGGAGGGGTACGCGAGCTGGACGGGCGGCAGGCGGGCGCGGGCCAGAGGGGAGCGGTAGCGGGCGGCAGCGGGCGGCAGCCGCCGGGGAGGGCGTTAGGTGGGTGGGTACCGGCAACCCTAACACCGGCACTCCACGCCGCCCGCCGCCGCCCGCTGCCGTCTGAGTGGCGAGAGGAGTGTGGTCGGGGCCTCGTCCGGAGGCGTACTGAGGGGCTTTCACAACACAGAGCGACGGCACATCCTTCTCAACAGCCCTTAGCGAGTCCGGGAGGGGCAGGGAGGGGAGGAGAGGGGTAGGTCGTTGGCCGGCAGCCCCTCAGCCCGGCCAAGCACCGGGCTGCGCTCGCCGGGCTCGGCTCACCCCCGGGCTCCGTGGCGTTCGCGGCGTGGGCTCGGGCCGTGTGTCCTGAGCCGTGCCGTGCCGTGCCGCGCCGCACCGTGCCACGCCGCCAAGCAGGCAGGCCGAGGCAGGCGATCATTGATCGGCCGCACGACGCGCACGCGCACGCGGATGCTGGGCCTGGATGGGCGGCTGGGCGGCCGGGCCGAGGGCTGCGACGGGTGCAAGGCCCGGACCCTTGGGGTGCCCACCCTCGGCGTGATAGTGCTGGTAAACAAGTCCAGCAAGACGGCGGAGAACCCTGCCCCCTAGCACACTGGAGGCCGCGCCGCGCCTTGGTTGAACCATAAGGCGGACCCCACAACGCCGCGCCGCGCCACGCATCGTCGCAGACTGCGGCCTGCCTCTCCTCCCTTTGCTTAGGGCGCGCCGAGCGGCGGCGAGCCCTACAGGGCCCTGGCCGCCCTGGCTGGGCGTTATGACCTTTGTGTGCGGCGGGGTATCGACCCGCGGTGTTGGCCAGCGAGCGGCCAGCCAGCGAACGCCCCTCTCTGCGCGCCTCGCCGCGCCTCGTCCAGATGGCGGTCGGGGTGCTTCTTCCGAGAGTCCTGGGTGCAGATCCCGCCCAGTTGACTGCGTCCTCACATCGTTTTCGTCGCACAGTTCCTCTCGCACTCATGGGGCGTCGCGTTTAGGTGCGAGAGAGTAGAGTGACGAAATGAGTCTTGGGTCTCGGCCTATGGTCCCGGCCGTCGGCGCCGGCCAGCGAGTACTGTACATACCTATGCCAGGACAACACCACCGACCTCGGCTAAGTGAAGCCAGATGCTCGCCAGTACCTGTTGGTGGGCTCGCGTCGTGCCTCTGCAGGATCACGCAGTCCTTAGACTTGCGGGGCCCCGAGCACCCCCTCGGCCACACCGTGGCGGTGCATCGGTGCATCGCGGTGCATCGCGGTGCACCGCAGGGTGCCAGGCCAGGTCGATACGCAGGTCCGGGGACAGGACGCCGGCTTGTCGGCTTGTCCAAGTCTTGCCTAAGGCTTGCCCGAGGCTTGCCCGAGGCCGGGGATCGGGGCGGGGCGGGGCGGGGCGGCGGCGAGGGTCCCGGCTGTCAGAGGAGGTCGCGGTCTGTTGACACGGTGGAGCAGGGTGGAGCAAGGCGTTGCCCTGAAGGACATCATGAGGACGAGCCCGAGGTTGAGTCTACTCGCAGCGCAACTCGCAGCGCAACTCGCAGTGTTACTTCGTCTTTCTTCCTCGTCCTCGGTCGTCCGCCAGCTGGACGCCAAAGAGCTTCAGTGGGGGGGGGGGAGTCCTGGATTTATTTGGGCAAATCGAGGCCGGCCTAACCCCGCCTTGGGTTGCCCTCGCGGCCTCTCGACACATGAGCGGACATGCTCATATCTCGCATGGCGTTGCGGCAAGGCGTTGCCCTGCAAGTAGCCCTCGAAGTAGCGCTGGCATGTTGCGTCCGTAGATAAGGGCGATAGGGCGGGCCAATGTCGCTGCGGCCTGCCTCGCCTTCGTGATCGCCGAGGTAAACCTCGCGACAATGTCCAGCGAGTGCCGCCACCACGCACTCGACGGCGGCCCGCCTGCGTCACACTGCCTCACTGGTCTGATAAGGACGGAGACTCGATGACAGCGTCGTCCGCGTCCGCCAAACACGCCTCCAGGCTTCCAGTGGACCTACACTACAAACTGCAGGCACCCACCTGGCCAAGTTGAGCGCGCGTGGCGGCCTTGGAGTGAGTCCAGCGGGGGCTGCGGGGGCTGCGTCCGCAGCGGCAGCAGAGCGGCGCGCACTCGCGGGTTGCGGAAGGATAGAGACGCCACGACACTGCGAAGCGACGCGCGAACCTGCCGCGAGTCCCGCCCAGCACGGACTGGCGGGAGTGGCGCGGAGTGCGGAGCAAGGCGGCAGCGCGGCAGTGGGCCACAGCCTAGCCAGAGGCAGTCCTGGCTAGCCTCGCCGCGCCTCCCCGCCCTTCCCCCGCCTAGCCTCGCCCAGCCTCGCCCAGCCCTGAGGACGGCGGGCGGGGGTGGCGGGGGGTGGGAGCGAGGTGGGGGCGTCGCGCTCGGAGAGGAGGGCTGCAGGAACACAAAGACGGGGTGGAAGACACTGGGTGGAAGGCGAAGGCTTGCCTGCCTCGCCCACAAGAAGTCCTGCCTGTTGAAATGAAATTCCTAGTTAGGTCCATTTGACTTTGCAAAGCAAGTCAAATCAACTCAATTTTTTGGAGAGGCTGAAGAGAGTGGCACCGCACCGCCTCAGAGCAAGGAGGACAGCACGGATGCTGTTTTCCTTGGCCACGGCTGAGGAGGTTCTGCAATTCTGCACAGAGCAGCAGGGCAGCAGTTAGCGGAGCCTGGCTGGCACCCGACACCCTTCTTCACGGAGTTTGAGCACCGTCAACACGCCGTCATGCAGGTGTAGAACAGCTCTCCAAGCCACATGATCCAGCGTTTGGGGGGGGGGGGGCTCTGCACTACTAAACTTTTTCACCAGAGCGGCAATTCATTTTGGTCGTCCGTCAACTTGATACGTCGGTCGATTCACCAGGTGTCATCTCGGTGGCGAAATGCACATTTATCATTTATTGCCACCGTATGTTGGCCTGGCTTTTGATATTTGGACGCAGGGCTACGCCGCGCTCCGCACACTCACGAGAGCAGGTTCATTTCGTCGCTCTGGCGGTTGGCTCTCACGCCCATACGCATCGCCCAAGGCGGGGCACTCCGGGGCCTCGGGGGCACGCAGGGAGGGCAGGGCGTGGCCCGGCCCGGCCCCGCCATGGAGGGAGGGGTATGCCGCTCGCGCGGGCTCGCTGCGACTGCGGCACCCTTTGCCGCGGCGCCCGCGCCCCGACGTCGGGGCTGGCGAGTGGGAACATAGTGGGAGCAGTGGGAAGGGGGTGTCCTGTCGGACGCTGCTTCAAGACGCATGAGGCGAGATGTCACCGTCGTGGATGAAATGATACGATGCAGAGAGACGCGGTCGAGAGTGTCGGGATGCAGCAGGTGGAGCGTAGCGCTCGGTCGGCGGCCGCGCGGCCAGGAGGCTTGAGCCACGTCTGTCAAACGGATCGAGGTAGCATCGAAATGGGGTTTGCGGCACTGCATTGCAAGCCTTACAGCGGGTGTCGCAGCCGCGACGGTCACCCTAATTTATGCAAATGTGTGCAGCATTCTGGATTTCTGTATTCATTCTGCCATTTTGCTATTCATTCGGGCTCAACTTCAGAATCTGAGTTTGTTTGTTGTCTTCCAAAAACACACGTTTTCGAGAATTGAAGGTTTTTGACAGTTTTGGAAGACAGCGCGGCGCGGTTGGCAACACCGCTCGGGCACTGCGACGACTATAGCCTCATGGTTTCCTTGGCAACCCAGGCCTAGCCGAGCCGTACTCACAACAGCCCAGCAGCGGCCAGCAGCCCAGCGGCAGGACAGTCCAGCCAGTCCAGCCCGGCCAGCCCGTCCCAGTCCTCGCGCCCTCCGCCGGGCCCTGCACCCCCACCCCCTCCACCAGCCCTTGTGAGTCACCACCGCCTCGGGTCGTTTTCGGAAACGGGGTCAACCCGGGCCAGGCTCTGAATCTCAGCGAGCAGGGACTGAACAGTGGTGAGCTGCAGAGTGGCCTTTGCAAAGGAAAAGTGATTGGTGGGCAGGCCATGGCGTCCGGCGGCGGTTCCTTGGAGTCGCAGTTCGAGGAGTTCAGCAAGTTCGGCGACTCGAAGAGCACCGGCAAGACCATCACGCTGACGCAGTGCGACAAGTGGATGAAGCAGGCCAAGGTGATCGACGGCAAGACCATCACCACCACGGACACGGGCATCCAGTTCAACAAGTTCAAGTTAGCTGAGCACTCGCTTTTCCTTTCCAGAATGTGTGACTAGACGAGTTTCTACTGTAGACACGGTTCCTTGCCCTCCAGGTCCAAGACCATCGACTACAAGACGTTCGTCAAGTACCTGGAGGAGCTCGCCGCCTACAAGAAGCTGGATGCGAACGACATCAAGAACAAGATGATCGGGTGTGGCATGCCGGGCACCTCCGGCGCCACGGTGAGAGGGGGGATGCTGCCAGGGCCCAGGGCCGCTGAAGGGCGCGCGTCATGGCCGATTGCTTGTTGTTGGGGTTGCAGAAGGCGCAGAAGGTGGGCGGCGTGGAGCGCTTGACGGACACGTCTAAGTACACGGGCTCGCACAAGGAGCGCTTCGACGCCAGCGGTAAGGGCAAGGGCATCACGGGGCGCGAGGACGTGGCCGAGAACACCGGCTACGTGTCGGGCTACAAGGACAAGAACACGTACGACAAGAAGCACTGAGCACGGCCTGCAAGATTAACAGCAACAATAAAAACAGCAAAGCAAAGAAAGTCGTCCCGCCCCCTTTCTCTCGCAAGGCCCCCAAGATTCGGGGAAGGGAACCTCGCGCGCGGCTTGCTCGGTCCGTCCTTCCCTTCGTCCTTCGGGGCTGGCGGGGCCGGGCCGCGCGTCCTTGGCGGTGACGTCACCGGGAGCCAATGGCAGCGCGAGGCCGGGCTCGCATCGCGTCACGGCCAGCCAATGGCAGCGACGGCCGCCCTCTCTCTCCCTGCTTCCTGGCGGGCTGCGGGCTGAGGGCGGCGGGCGGCGGGCTGCATCCCCCAGCACTTCCAGGGCCGGGGCCTCGCGCAGGGCCCGCAGGCCCCCCGGGGGTGGCTCAGTGACTCACGCCGCGCGCCGCGCCACGGGGATGACTCACCGCGGAATCCGTGCTCCAATAGGTTTTTCGACTTTGCTTTTTCCATTCGTCGAAGGTCTGGATAAACGCGAAGTGCGATGAACATTTCTGGGGACAGAGAAGAAATCAATATGCCGCTGGACAGGGAGAGGCCCTGCATGGCCCATTCCGCGGACCGGGCACACTGTTGGTACTTCTCGGAGTACTTCCTTCCCGACCCGTGGCGCGCTTTTCAAAACTTGGCGCTCTTTGCGGACGCGGTCGGCAGCAGGGCAACCAACCTTTGAGTTGACAGTAGTGCTGCGGGATTAGGCCGAGTCATTCGGCCACTAGTTCAGTTGTTGACAACAAGGCCGACCCGCGCCTCACGGCCCCGCATCGGGGGACCGAGGTCTACGACCACTGTACCCGCCATCGCTGTGGCAGTGCTGGCTGGGGCCTGAGGCAGCACGCCGGTGGTCCGTTCCTGTCTCACTCGTAGACGATCTCGGTAGCCTGGGTTCCATTCTACTTGTTTCGGCCCGGGACTTGAAACTTGGAACGCACAGAGCGGCGCGCCGAGCGACAGGGCGACAGGATGCGTGCGTGCGTGGTGGGGGCGGGCATCGTCGGGCTGCACACGGCGCTCGAGCTGCAGCGCGAGCTCGGCGCCTCCCTGGACATCACCATCCTGGCCGACAAGTTGAACGAGGAGACCACCGGTGACGGCGCGGCCGGCTTCGTCTTCCCCTCCACCTATTTCACGGGGCCGTCGCCCGAGGTCACCAAGTGAGTGGGGCGTGGGGCCAGCCCCAGGGCCAGCCGCGGCTTGCCGGCCTGGCAGCCGCTGCCCCTAGTTTGTTGTGACAGTCTCAGTGCGTTGCAGGCGGTGGATCCGGGACTCGTACGATTGGTACGATGCGGCTTGCTGGTCGGACCAGGGCCGCGCCAGTGGCGTGGCCGAGCTCTCGGGGTACTTCTACTCCAACGCGAGCCGCGCGCGAGTGTGGAACCACCTCATGAAGGACGTCTGCCCGGAGTACCGCGACGCCACCGACGACGAACTGCAGCTGTTCCCCGGCGGCGCGCGGTTCGGGTCCTTCGTCCGCACGCTGCTCGTCGAATGCCGCTACTTCCTGCCCTGGGCGCTGAGCAGGTGAGGGAGTGGGAGCGCCTGTCCGGCGGCACTGCCTACGCTGGAGGGAGGGCGCCTGGCGGGTAGGCAACGAGCGGGCACGCCTGTCCGGCGGCACTGCCTACGCTGGAGGGAGGGCGCCTGGCGGTAGGCAACGAGCGGGCACGCCTGTCCGGCGGCACTGCCTACGCTGGAGGGAGGGCGCCTGGCGGGTAGGCAACGAGCGGGCACGCCTGTCCGGCGGCACTGCCTACGCTGGAGGGAGGGCGCCTGGCGGGTAGGCAACGAGCGGGCACGCCTGTCCGGCGGCACTGCCTACGCTGGAGGGAGGGCGCCTGGCGGGTAGGCAACGAGCGGGCACGCCTGTCCGGCGGCACTGCCTACTGCCTGTCTCGCAGGGGCTCGGGGGGATGTCTCCCTCAGACGACCATCGTGCTCGGCCTGGGCCCCGCCGTGCTGCAACTGCTGCAACTGCTGCATGCCTGCCGTGTCTGCAGGCTCCAGGAGGGCGGCGCCAAGGTGCAGCGGCGCACGGTGAGCGCGTGGAGCGAGCTGGCGGACTTCGACGTGGCCTTCAACTGCACGGGCTTGGGTGCGGCAGAGCTGTGCGCCGATCACTCGGTGGTGCCTGTCCGCGGGCAGGTGTACAAGGTGGCCGCGCCGTGGATCAAGACCTTCACGTACTTCGACGGGGACACCTACATCATCCCTGGCCGCGAGCAGGTGAGGGACCGACAGTCCGCGGCGCCCGGCGCTCCGTGACCGATGCACTGACGCCGCTCTTGCTCTGCATCGCTCTGGCCTGCAGGTGACGCTGGGAGGCTCTCGCTGGCTGGGCAACCCGTCCCTGGCCGTGGACCCGCACGAGAGCGCCGCCATCTGGGAGAAGTGCGTGCGCGCCGTGCCCAGCCTGCAGCGGGCGCGCGTGCTGCGCCAGTGGGTCGGCCTCAGGCCCTTCCGCTGCCCCGTGCGCGTCGAGGCGGAGACCGTCGCCGTGCAAGGCGGCTCGGCCCTCAAGGTGGGAGGGGGCGGAGCGCGGAGCGTCCCCATCATTACGGCGGCATGGCTTTACAGGTTTACAGCGTGTTGTTGTGCTGCAGGTGGTGCACAACTACGGCCACGGCGGGTACGGCATCACCGCGGCCCCCGGCACGGCCCGCCACGCCGTCGCCTTGTTCAAGGAGGGCATGAGAGCGAGCGGACTCGGCGGACTAGGGGCATCGGCATCGTGCAAGCTGTAGCGCAGCCGGCCAATCCAGCGTCCAGCACAGGAGTGCCAATTCACCATGAGGTTTTCAACTGGATCTGTTACTCCTTAAGTCTGTGTTCCTTTTCATTATTAGAATGAGTGCAGATCATTGGGTCTTGTGTGCATTTTAATATTCAATAACAGATTTTGTAGCCGTAAAATTTATTACAAATATTGTACAAATTTTGGACTGAATAGCAGTCTTTAATTCAAAGCACCTATTGTAACAATGGTTTTTTCAAAATCATAAATAAAATACGAAAACATTTTTTAAAAAAAGAAAGAAGAAAAGGGTAACAGTCTGTTTGAATATGACTACAATGACTTGATGCAGTCTTCACATTTACGCAGAGCCACAGAGAACACAAACACAACACCACTGTCGAGCAGTTTTAGTTCAAAGAAACCTTACAATCTGGCCAAACTCTAAACAGATTTGTCTTTAGTGCTGCATTACCATAAAAGTGCATGAAACAACCAATCAATAACAGTTAACAGTATTTAAATACCGCCATACCACTAGTTTGCTGTCACACAACAAAACCATGTGTTCATAAAAAATCAGATGACTAATTTCAATTGAAAAATTGAAACAGACTTCATTTCAGGAATGAGTATTTGAGCACAAAAAACTTTGGCCTCTGAGAATCATGCGCTGCTTCGATTACATTTGGTGAGCATATTCTCTATAATTGAACAATAATTACTATAATCCAAGTCTTGTATCTGAGTGAAGTCCAGTGTAAATGATAATCCAGGTCACCTAGAATGGATCAAAGCAAATAATAGTAATAATAATAATAATATTAAATAATTTTGCATTTACCCTAGGTCTAATGTAAGAAGAATGACAAATAACTACAATTATCAATTTAGGTACTTACCAAAAATCCAGCAAATGAAGTCATAAACCCTTCCTTTGTAAGCTCCCATGCTCCACCATACTCTTCTTCATCAACCTTCTGAAAGCTTGTGCAATACACATACAGAATACCTGCATTCACAAGGGCAAACCTGGAAAACAAACTTCAATAAATATTCGACTTAGGAAAGAAGGAAACTAAAGTAAGGTACGTTACTTACAGAACGAGGGCAACAAATCCTTTGAGAGGCACAAGGCCCCATAATACTCCAATGGCGATGCCCAAAAGCTGTCTCGCCCAATATACTACATCTAAAAATTCATCCTATAAAGGAAGCGGAAAAGATAGTTCGTTAATTAACAATCAAAATGTAATCTATATTCATGAGTACTCAAATCTTGACTGAGAAATTTAAATATCAACGGTCAGAACAGGGTGGTGAAAAGAAACATCTAACCAGTGCATAGTTTGTCGTCCTACATTCAGAAAGTGTAACTAGAGTGACGAGTTTCAAATTCATTACGTGTAAATATACCTTGTCCGGCCACTCGGATTCCGATTTAAAGGCCCTAATCCAAGCAGACTCCAGGGCAGGCCCTTTGTGTGCTCCGTTAGCGCCGTGCTTTTCCGTCGTTTTCGTTTTGGTTGCCATTCTTCATAAATCAATCTGTGGATTGTAACGGAGGTGAAACACGTAGAATCAAAATGTACCACACAATCAATTGCAGGTTAGACTAGCAGACGCATGACGGATGACTGACTCGCCCGTCACGTCGCTCGAGGGAAAAAAAATCCCCCAGATAGCAGTAACAAGGCACAAAGACGATTGAAGCGTGCCACTACTAAGATTTATTTTCTTGAAATCTATAACAAAATAGGTTTTCCTTCATTATTTCATTGCGAGGTACTGTCGGTAAGGTACTTTATGCAACCACAGACGGTAAGTTTAGCGTTTGATAGCCGGCCAGCTTGTACAGCTTGTACACCTCCCCTCTCCTCTCCCCTCTCCCTGTACAAAACAAATTTTGTTGTTGGTTCGTCAAGGCTGTTGTGCGTTGTGTTTGAGTCATCCCTGACATTCCAGTTCCCTTCAAAATCAACTGATAAGCCACGAATCGGTTGACAGAGGGTGGCTGTAGCGTCTACTCTTTGTGCACTTCACTATCTACTACTATCATGTCGTCGCAGTTGGATAGTATCCTTTCGAAAAGGCTTTTTGTTCATTATTATACTGTCAAAGAATGCTGGTTCTATCAAGAGTCATTCATTGTCTTTTCCCCCCATATTACGTTACTTATTTAAAGTTGTTATTTTTGCCTTGTTGTTATAAGATTCGTCTTGATTTCTCTAATAGCTCACTATTGTTTCCCTCCAATGTCTGAAATCACATAACCTTTTGTTGTTTGTTGTTTCTTCTCCGTTTTCTTGCACAAGGACTGCAGTCTTTTTTTGAACCAGTAGGTGGAGCTCCAAACCTCTAGGCACTATCTACTGCTTTAAAACAGTTTGACTGTATGGTTCCAGTGGCAAGGGCCTCAATCTTATTTTTCTTAGGCTTAGTTTACTTAGCAACGTCTGTACCTTAACTATCATTCAGAACATCTTTTCAACCTCAAGTTTGCTGTTAAGGAATTAGAGCGAAACTCAAAGAAATGTGAGAAAGAGGAGAGGAATGAGAAAATGAAGATGAAGAAAGCAATACAAAAGGGCAATACTGAGGTAGCAAGGATTCATGCTGAAAATGCTATACGTCAAAAGAATCAGTCTGTCAATTATCTCCGAATGAGTGCTCGAGTTGATGCTGTTGCTAGTCGTGTTCAGACTGCACTAACAACTAGCAAGGTGTGATTTATAAGTACATAAAGTAGTGCCACTTCTTAAAGATCGATTACAAACTAATGCTGCTGTCTTTTTCAGGTGACCAATTCTATGCAAGGTGTTGTCAAAGCAATGGATGCAGCCATGAAGTCAATGAATTTGGAGAAAATATCTAATCTGATGGATAAGTTTGAGTCCCAGTTTGAAGATCTAGATGTCCAGAGCTCCTACATGGAGAATACTATGTCCCAGACAACTACTACAAATGTCCCTCAATCAGATGTGGACCAATTGATGCAGCAAGTTGCGGATGAGGCAGGGTATGTGTGTTTTCAAGACATGTTTTCATTCTATTTTAATCCTAAATTTTAACCATTTTTATTATTTATCCACCAATTTCCATTCAGGCTGGATCTCAACATGGAGCTGCCACAGGGACAGACTGGATCCATCGGCACTTCAACCCAGGTTTCACAAGAGCAAGACGAGCTTACACAACGCTTATCCCGACTGCGTCAAATGTGATAGATGTCCTAATTGTGAGTGCCCTTTTGATCCCTTATATAATATTTCTTAAAGGTGTGTTTTACAGATGATTTTATCTTGGTTTTTCAGGATTGCAATGTACTGGCTGTGTGGTTTTTACCTGTGCACAAGCCTTGCTGCTTTTTTTTTGTTTTGGTTCCAAAGTTGAGTCTTTTAAAATTGTTAAATGAAAACAAATGATTGGATCTGTATTTCTGTAATTGAAAGAGTACACCATGTTTCTCTAAATTATGGGTAGTTTAGTTTTTTAAATGAGTTGAGCCATTTCAATTGCTACTGCTTGATTCAATATTTTGGGTCAAAGCTGAAAATCTTCAGTATTTTTCCTTTTCACAATATTTCTTTCAAGCCAGGGTAAGGTCTTCATTTCTTTTTTTCCTTATTTTGAGCTCATTAATAAAATATCTTTTTTCTAATGCCTTTTAACTAAGTATTTTGCCACTCAGACTTAAATGAGTAGCTGGCTATTCATTCTACTTCATTAGCACAGTTTTGTGCTAAATCAACTTAAGCTGCTTGCTCTAAGAATATTCATCGGATATGCAGGGCATTTTTTAATTTGTATTTTAATCTGCTTTTAAAAGCATTCTTTAAGACAAGACAAATCTTCATTGGGAAGTACTTTGTGTTCTGTCTTCATTCCTATAAATCTGTGCTTAAGTTTGCTTCTATTATTAAGTTTATTTCAATTAAAGATAGGAAACATAACTGGGTTATTATTCTTTTAACATCAGTATTTACAATCACAGACACATCACAGCTTTTAAAAAAATCTGAAACCCTGACCTGAATGTCATGAACAATTACATAAATGTACAAAAATAGTTTCTTTGCATTAGGTAAACACAAGTTTAGCATTCATGATGAAATGAGAGAGCATTTCAGTATTTTATTTAACAACACCCAAGGCCCTCTTGGCAAGAGCTGCTGATGGGTCACACTTGAGCAGTTGATAATACCACAGGGCCTGTTTGCTCAGTTGAAGTACTGCTAAATAGTGATCTGAATCATTAAGGCTTGTGGTTTTCCCACACTCTACACAAATATGCAATGCCCTCCCAAGACTATACTGGAAACTAGCAGGCTCCTGAATAAACAGGCATATTGTGCTGCGTAGTATCTGAGAGGCAAAAGTATAGTGGTGCATATCTATGATTTCAGGTAAATGAGCCACTAACGCTTGCACAACATGTACAGCAGCTTGTGGAGATATGGTCTCTCTCCTCTCAGATAGTAACTCTGGTAGAATAGCTGGGGGCTGCACGGGAGTAAACTGAGTGCTCTCTTCAGCAGATTTATCTTTAAATATGTCCAGAGAACTAACAAGTGCAACCAATAGTGAAGAAACTTCTTCAGCAGGCAACCTTTTCACATCAAGACGCTGAAAATAAGGACAATTTTTAAAATTGTATGTATTTATGTTATGCCATGACATTTTTAAGACCATTTGATTTGACCTACCTCCAGGGCTTGAAGAGCGTTTCCTACAATGATAGCTTCCTTGGACTCAATGAACCGAATGAGAAGCCTCAGTGCCTGAGAGGATGCTGGCTGTGGTAACTCAACTACAAGACTGACAATGCAGTCAAGATGTGCCCGGCACAGAAGAACATCTGACCGATCCCAAGTGGTCTCCTCTAACGTGAGAAGAACTTCTGATGCATTGTCAGCAGAGCAAACCCGTGGCAAGAGCAACAGTTTCTTGTGAAGAAGAGGGTTCTGGCCAGTGAAATCTGGAGCATTTATTCCAGATTTTAAACTGTTAGACAGCCTTGGTGGGCAGAAAAGACTCCAGGATTTGCTAAACGGTGCAAGCCAATCCATTTCACGGTTTTCAGTCCATTGTAAGAATTCTAAAACATAACTAAAACAAACCACACAATAGGACAAAAATCATCATCATTTAATAGAATTAATGTAAAATTTTTATCACTCTTACCCTTGGGCATGAACATCAGATGATCCCAGGAAGGTTGTAAGAGCAGGTACAGATCTAGCAATAACATCCTTTTCTAAGTGAGGATATCCCTTTTCGATAAGTTGCACAAAGAGTTGGGCACAATTTACTACAACTGCAGCACTCTCCTTATGGGCCAAATAGGGGTCTAAGAGGCCTGCACAGAAAGCATGAGAGAGACATTGAACATGAACAGGTAGAAGTACAGAAGCAGAACTTGTAAGTAGAGGTTCTTACTAAGTTGGGTGAACAATTCTGTATCTGTCTTGGGGGCATACTTTCGCAACACTTGGAGCACTGTGGCTAGCTGTGGAGGTTGAAAGTGAGGCAAACGCAAGAGCAGATACTGAGCAAGTTTCCTATTGACAACCACACCACCCTCTTGAGCTAGTGCCTTATCGAGCACAAGAAGCGCTTGAACAACTACTAGTGTATCCTCATCCCGTATGCATTCATAAAGCCTGTTGAAGCAGAGCACATTTATTAAAATTCAGTGAGCGAGTGATTCGAGTTATAACTGATTGGAAGTCAAACTACATGATGAACAAACCTGTTAACAAAGCCCTTTCCCTCTAGAAGACCTGGAGCATCGCTGAAGACTCGCCCACACGAAACAACTGCAGTTCTTCGGACGCGTGGGTGGGAATCTCCCAATGCCACAGCAAGTACATCAGTAGCGTAAAGTGGGAGAAGAGGAGGCAGCACACTGATTCCCCACACCCCCAAACACTTAACCTCGGGGTTTGGGTCACGGCAATCTCGAATAACACAATTAGCTGCCAGCAAGGCTGCATCAGGATGATTTTCACATAGCCTGGAAAGAGAAAAAAAAAATTAACAGAAAAATTGAAGAAACTTCCATTATAGTCCAGACAGATCTGGATAAAATTACTTCTGCAATGTTGTGTAAACTCTTCGCTTCACTTCCAAATTGTGGGACGGAAGCAGCTTCACGACTGGGCCGATGAGACAACTCTTATCCCCTGGGAGTGAAGCAGCCTCCTGCATCTACGGATTTGAGAAACACGGTTTTGTTGTTCCTTGATGAGTGGAAACTTCAAATCCCTTCAAAATCTTGTGACACATTTCGACCAGCATGATTGCTGATTGTACCTGTTGTAATAGAACCAGCAAGTCCCCAGACTCTTCGTGCTGGCTGGCCTCTAAAAGATTGGCGGTAAGTTCTTCGAGTGACATAGTATTGAAGTAACTGTTGGAACATCACAAGAAACAGAATCAATGAAGATAAACAAAGCGAGCAGTGCAGTGAGCACGTCTGTCCCTTCGTCTGCTGGGTAATCTGGGAGGTTTATTTCTCCTACGGTACAGACGATATGAGAAATCCGATGCGCTGCCACGCACTCTGGCGGAGAGTTCCCGCACTTGACTTTTGACTTAACGTTTGTTTACCTTTAACTTACTAACCTATATATATTTCGGCAGTCAGATTAACTCGAGAATTAGTTTACCTCGATATGGGCAGAAACTGCTTTATATTAAAGTGCAAGGGCAACAAGAACCGGTACGTCACTGACCTTAAAAAGACGTTGCCAGCATTTTTTCGCTTCCCTAAAGTAAGTGCCTTTGGTCAACAATCGTCTCGTCTGCTTTCTTTCGCGTTTTATTATTTCTGATTGCTTCATTTATCGAATGCTTGACAGGATGCAGACCTATTCGATGAATGGAAGAAGGTTGTGCCCCCTCGGACGTTCAAGCACAATCCAAAGCGCTACCCGACCGACAAAGACTATCTGTGCTCCCTCCACTTCAAGAAGGAAGATGTCATCAAGCACTACGAAATTAGCAGTATCAAGGGTTGTCCTGAAAATGAAGTCGTGAAAATTGAACGAGGAAGGTGGATATTGAAACCAGATGCGGTCCCATGTTTCTTTTCAGATGACAACCCTGATGCGAAGCTGATGGTACATGAGCGTAGAACTAAAAGGTCAACCAGTCTCAGCAAAAGGGAAGTACCTTCTATGCCCACTGGAATTGGTCACAATTGTAAAGAGAATGAATGCATTGATACAGAAACCACCTGTAGCAATGGCAAACCTGATACACCTGAAGTGACGGTGCCAAACTGTTCTGTTGTTGCAAGGATAGATCACAACTACCACTTGCCTTTTAGAGAATCTACAGGGGGTACAAGAATGTCTGTAGTTGAGGAAACCACTGCTAACGTATCAACCCATTCAAGTTCTAGTAATAAGTGTGAATCCGAGTCATATACTGTAGAACAATTACATCAAGATGTATTAGAAATAAAGCTACCAAAAAATTGGACATTTGTCCAAAATGATGATGATTATAGCACACAATTTATTTCATATGGTGAGGATATGTCTGTCAAATGTGTTAAGTTTACAGGCACATGTCTTCCTTCAGTTACAATATGCGGTTCCATTCAAGAACATGGCAGAGTCTGCTCCAAGCAAGATATTGAAGAGCTCCTCGCATCTGTCAGTGTTTTGTGAAATAGGTTTACCATGTATTAGTTATAATGGTTGTTAAAGTGTAGAAATATGTTCATGTTTTGAAATGTTTTATACTGCACATGTATCAATGAAATAAAGGCATTAATTTAACAAGCTTTCTCCCAGTGTGTCAGCCTTTACCTACGTTTGTTTTCCTTACAATGAACAACACAACATAGAAACCATGAGAGAAGGACACCTTTCTCTCATGTAGAAGCGGTGTGCAAAAGTAGTTGATCTCCTAGAATGTAGTTATCTTTCTTTTTCAATTTCTTCATCAGTTTGTAATCTCAGGTTTTGTCGTTCGTTTATGCCGTGGAGGTAGACGATTTCATAGGTTGGCGGCGTTGAGAGGTCTTCCTCCTTCCTTCCGCCGAGAGGTTGGTACAACTGAGCTGCTGTCATTTGTTGGTTATTTTCAAAACAATCTCGCAATTGTTTGTTTACAAGATTTGTGTAGAATGTAACTCTAAGTTTTATTCAATTCTGTCAATATTCTGAATATTTTGGTGGTACTTTTGTACCATCATCTAGTTAAACACATTTTTATTCATGAATGCCATAAACTCGATTATTTATTGATAAACAGTAGCCCCTTACTGGCCTCAATTGAAGACACCTGACAGAAATTATATGAATATTAGTTTGTTGGAGAACTAAAATGTCCTTTGCAAAAGGCAGAAGGAGTGATTTAGGTGGTTTCAATGAGTTTTATCTAAGGCTTTCTTCTCTGATTTATTGAAACAGTACCTTATCAATTTTTTGGTCCATAGATTATGATGAAGAGGATCCTCTTGCTGATTTATTATCTTCCAGTGGAGAAAATACACCAGTGAAAACGTCATCAAGAAAGTCATCCACTAAGGAGACCCCTGAGCTTCCAAGACAACAGTCGAAAAGCAAACTGATTGCTGACTTGTTCGGTCTAAATGGGGAAGATGAGGTACCTGTTTGTACACGTACACATCCACTAGTTGTTACATAAAATATGAATTTTGTTCTGAACTCTTTATGTGGTGTAGGTCAAGACCACTAGTACACTACCTTCAACAACCAGCATTTCAAAACCTGCAAATAAAGTTGAAAATGCTGGTGACTGGTTGGGTTTAACAGGTGATCAAGAAGACTATGATTTGCCCAATGAAAACTATGCTCCCAATTCAAGGAGGAGACTTTTGTCAAAAGAAAACAGCAAAGACGATGACTTTCTGTCTCCGACTTTAAATATGAGAGAAAACATTAAAAATACTAGTGTTCCAAAAACAATTGCAAGCACAGCAAGTGATGAGTTAGCCAAAGCTAACTTACCAGCCCAAAGAAGGAACAGTGGAGGCATGCAAGAGAACAAGAAAACAAGCTCAATTTTGAGCTCTTTTATATCTGATTTCGGTGAGTCTAAATATTGTGAATCATCTATTAAAGATAAGAATGTACTGTTGTAAGATCCATTAATTGATTTTCTTACCATAGATACAAAACCAAACCCTCCAGGTGAACCATCAAGCAAGAAAGGAAATGAAACCGATGTCGAGCAATGGAAAGGTGTCTATTCTATGTCAGGCAGCCGTGAGTCCAGACGCAGCACTCGTCGCAGAGGGGGTGATATTGTGGACCCTTTAGGCCTTTTCTCCTCACAACAACAGTCAGTATCAGTTGCAATGAACAGGAGTGAATCCAGAGTGAAACACTCTCTCAGCTTTTTTTTATGTTCCCTAGGTCAGCGCAATCTAACTTAAAGGATACACAGAATGAGGTAGAGCCTGTCTCCACTGTACCAGCTCAAGCTCCTGCTCTGTCCAACACTGGTAATGCTTTCATCTTTCATGAAGTTAAAATTTCAATACATCACAGTTCAAAAAAATATAATGTTATCTTAGATAATATACCTACATGGCTAGGAGGAACATCTGCATTACCAATATCCTCTTCATCAGCACCCAGCGTCAAAACAACTGACACCACCAATGACAGATCACCTGCTGGTAATTTCTATATTTTATGATCTAAATTGTTGAGGTAACTATTTTTACATCTGTTCTTTCTTTTCGCAAAAGACGTGAAGCCAGCAGCTCAAAGTGATGTTGACATTCTGACTGGACTGTCCAACTTGGAGGCTCAGGCAGGAGAGGCTGCAGCTCAGCAGCAGAAGAGCCTTATAACTGCTCTGGCTCTGAAGAGACAGGAAGATGCACTCCTCAAACTACAATCACAACAGGCTGCTTTGTTATCTCAGCATGAACAGCAATTGGGTGCTTTGGTGCAAAGGCAGTTACAACGACAGCAGCAAATGATTCGACAACAAGAGCAAATTCAAGCTCATATTCAGGTTGACAAAATCGAATATTATTTCAGTGCTATACTATAATTCCCAATACCTATTATTAATAATCAATTCTTCCAGGCTCTTATGGTGCAACCACCAGTAGTCGCTCCAATCACTTTGCCTACCATGCTTTGGAATATTGAGGAAAGTCCAAGACATGATCCTGATTCACAAGTGGTTGTTGAATCATCAAGGTTTCAAATGGAAAAAGATTTAAAGATGATTTCTGATTTAAAAGTAAATATAATGATGTTTGTAAAGTTTCTCTGTCAAGTTTGAAATAATCTAAGTTTATCTTTCATTAAAAAAATAAAAAAAAAACTTTTAACATTTGTGAATTATAGGGCCAGGTTCAGAAGCTAGAGATAGAAAATCAGGATTTAAAAGCACAGTTGGATATAGAGAAGCAAAGACATGAAAACCATTTGTCAGACATGGATAAATTGTTTCGGTGGGCAGGTATTCAATTAACTTCGATTAAAGTTAAAGCTAAGATCAAAATAATTTTTTTACCATTATTATTTAGGAAGCAACTTACAAGTCTAGAAGAGGCAATGTCAAATCAAGAAAAACGTCATCATTCTGAAATAGATGCAATGGAGAAGGAGGTATCAACACGAGTCAATCGTTTAAAGGTGCAACATGGCTTATAGTTACAGCAAAGTTAATACTGGCCAATCAGAAACCATTAACAAAACCCCTCCATCTGTTTATATAGGAAGACCATACTAAAGCATCTTCCGAGCAAGCGCAACGCATGGCTCAACTCCATAGTGAGTGGTTGGCAGATTTGCAGAGGCTAGGGGAATTCCATCAACAGGCTGTAGAGATGCTGAAGTCAGAACAAACTTCTGCAATTGAGCATTGGAAGATGTTGCAAATGGCTGAAATAGATTCTGTGAAAGAAGCTGGCTCAAATGCAAGGTCAAGAGTTGTTTTTTTTTTTCAAAACTGTCTTATTTTTTAAAAAAATTTTTGTTTAATTAAAGCTGTACTTTAACTTTAAAAATTTATTTGCCAGAATGCTAGAAGCGGCGGTGACCCATTTACAAGAGAGCACTTCATCTCTTACTGAGCTAAAAGATCATATTAAAAAAGAATTTCAGTCTCAGTATTTACAAAAGCAAGAATCCCTCATGAAACAAGAATTGCAACTAACAGGTATTTTTTTACTCTGTGGTAAAGAATTATGCAACCCCATTCCTTTTAGATGTAAGATGTTACTGTCATCTAGGTTTAAAAGAGTCTTTAGAAAAGCAAACTGCTGCATTAGAGACAGAAAGATCCTGCCTTTCCAAATTGAGCCAAGACCTAGAATCTCGCCTACAGAAGCAACAGCAAGAGGTAAATGATGATAGGTGCAGGTTTGAAGCTAGAGAGAAAGCATGGGAGAGAGAGAAGCTAGGTGCTATTGACCTCCTAAACGAAGAAAAGGCACATCTAGAGGTAAGTATATTTAATGTGTTGGATATTTCTATGACTTCCGTCTGTGCTAAACTGTCTGGCACTCCAACAGAAATTGCAATCTGAAGCTCACACAGAATTGGCAGAGTTGGCAGAAAGAAAATTAGTACTAGCAGCTGATGTAGCTCGTCTAGAAACAACATTACAAATTCAAAGCTCTCATGCAAATCGAAATTCACAGCAAGCAGAGCAGGTACAATTAGAATTTCAATATACATACTGAAGCAGTTTATGTGAGTGACTGATGGGACTTCATGTGTTTGTTAGATGGTGGCTGAGGCAAGATCAACCCTTGAGGCAGCACAGGATGCTGCAAAGGAGGTTCAAAGGGAGCGGGAAGAAATTAATGAGCTGAAACATAATCTTGCATTTGAACAAAAGCGCCTGAGTAGTCTTGAGAAAAACATCCAAGGTCGAGAACAGCAACTGGAGGAGGAAATGTTGGTATGTACAGCATTTCTTTAAGTATGTTTCATATATCATGGCTTGATTTTCATCTCCTTCCCATTTGATTTAGAGGGCAAAAGCATTCAGGCAGGAAGGTATTAGTGCTCTGGATGAAGCTAGAAGACTTGAAAGGGAACGTACTGAGCATGCCTCGGATCTTGCCCAGAGGCTATTGCATTTGAAACGTAGAGAGGACTCTCTTTCAGAGGTAACACATAAATTTACTTTCGTTTTCGATTGCGTTTTTGGTAAAACGTGCTGTACTGTTTCTGATTATTTTAAAGGAAAAACTTGCTCTTACAATGGAATGGAAGAAACTTCAAGAGTCTAGAGAAAATACTGCCTGTTCTCACTGTGGGCAAGGGCAACTGGAATCAGTTGCAATGTCATCTTTTCATCATACTACGGTACTGGTTTTTTTTATTATTCAACAAAAAGTTAAAAGGGTTATAGAAAACTTACATGCTTTCTATTTCCAGCACATTGTTGACCCACTGCCCATTATTATGAAATTGGAAGCTGAACAAGGTCTAGACTTTGCTACATTGGATCATCCCAGATATCATTCTTCTTTGATGGAGTCGGTCAGCCAGTAAAAGTGGAATTCTATAGCAAAGATATTTTTAACTTGTATGCAAAATGAGTCTTTGGAAAAATGGGATAAGTTAGTTTCATGCCCACTTCAAGACAACATTGCTTGTGAGTTCTCAGGAGTTTGAAGAAAAGATGAAGACAATAATTGAACACAAAATAAAAAATACAATTACTTTATATAATTTTTGATCCATTTTTATAACAAATTAACTATGCTGTCTGCAAAACTTTCACCTCAACTGGCTTGAAATCAAATGAGATAACGCCACTTGTGGGATTAAAAACTGTAGTGAATGTCAAGTTTGGAACCTGAGCGATTGCTTCAGGGAATAAATACACACCTTGACGTGAATGTAAATTCCAGTTTACCTGATGCCCAATTTGTACTTCTTCTGTTGGACCTGTTGAAATAACATTCTGGGCTTCTTCATCCAAGACCCAATCAACCCATAGTGCCACACCATTGCATTGACCCAATCTGTAAATTTTTAAATACAGGTCTCAGAGAGCGTCTTTAAGTATCCAATTATTACTCATCAGAATTGACTCAAATCTTACCCCATGATATCTAGTGAGCCGGTGTATTCTATCTGCTTCTGAGGAATATTGGCATTGAAGTTGAGCTCCAGCAACTTAGTTGGCTTTGATAAAGCTTTGCATGGGTACTCCCACAGGGGCTGTGCTTCCCATTTACAATCAACTCTGTTGCTTGCCACCTGTCCAAAGTAATTACAACATATACTTATATGTGCCAGTAAAACATTTTTAGGACCCAATACAGTAGTTAAAAGAAACTCACATCAATGAGAGAATCAAAACATTTCATTTCAAATCCTTGCACATTTTTAAGAGGAGCTCTTATTTTCCACAAATCTTTAAAATCAACTGCCATTCCATACAACAGACCTTGGCAAGGTAAAGTAACACAATTTTCATGAATTTTTGAAAGCATTTCAGTTTTTTTGTACCAGAAATGCAAGTTTTCCCATGGTAAAATACTTGTCATTTGATATGGCTCACTTAAAACAACATTTACCTTGTAGAGAGAAAACAATTGGTGTTTAGAATATCTCAATTCAACATTTACCTCAATAATATTAAAGTAGAATAAGAATACCTTGTCATCAATTTTTTCCAATATTTTATCAGTAGTTAATGCTGCTTCATCAAAAACGTTGACCTGGTCTTTTAGGTTGTTATGTACAACATAGCCTTCGATGATTCTCCGTGTAAGAGAACAGCTCTCAATGCAGAGTACCTGTCAAAACAAACTGGAGATGATAGTTTTCAATGCAATTGGCAAATAAAGAAGTTTTGGATCTATTATACCTTTTTGGCACCTAGTTTAGCTGCAGCTAAGGCAATAACAAATGAATCTCCAACGCTTAAACAGACACTATCTTCATTTATAACAGACTGCATTGCCTTGATGTATTTTTGAGTGCGTTCCTCATCATTTATCTGACCTATTCTGCTGCGGCTAAGAACAGCATGAATACTACAGCTGCACACAGGAGACTTGTAGTCTTCCTCCTTTAACCTATTAAAAAAAATAAAAATGTCACAATAAACACACAGTCACTTCTGACAAACCACGCAGAAACTGACTGAAACCTTACTTCAAGTCCAAAGCCAAATTGAACCAAAGTGAATATTCATCATGTGAACTGATAAGAGTCAATTCTTGCCCTGTCTTTGCAGTTACAGGTGTTGGTAAATAATACACAGCTTGCATCCAATGATCCCTCCAGGGAATGTCATTGGGAGATTTGGCTTTGGATGGATGGGCCCAGAATGGAGCACAACTGAGGACCACCTGCAAAATAACAAGTCAAAATAGAAAAAAGTAATGCTTTCATATAAATAAACAAAATAAAAATTAATGTTACCTCGCCCTTGGTGTCCATGGTTAAATCCCACCACATAAAAACTGCTTGAGCAATACCATCAGAAGCAGCCTTGAGGACCTGCACAGTTGATCTTTCTTTCACAACTGGGCTGCGTCCTGAATAATCAAATCTAAAACAATGCAGAGAGATGCTGCATGGTCAACCAAGACTCACATACAAATCAGGCTTAGAATCAATGGTGCACATACCTAAAAACTGGTACTGGAGGCAAAATAGTTTTAAATAAATGAGGAGACAATTGACTTAATTGGATGTCATGAACAGCAGCTGCACCCTTACACTGCATGACTTCTGGGGGTGTGAGAATAATATTATCAGGTCCATTTTTTAGTGGTTTCATATTGTGCCACCTTGAAACCAATTCACTTTCCACAACTTGAGCATAAACAGTTGCTGAAGATGGAACAACAATACAGTCTTTCTGCAAAACAAAACAAAAATTAAGTACTTCTTTTAGGTAAAATAAGCTTAAATTTCTTAGTTCAGAAGTTTTATACTGACCTCCAGCAATTCCTTATGAGCATGGCTAAACGTTGCATAAGCGCCCTCTCCTATGAGCTCTGTATCAAACACCTCCGTGACAAGAATGTTAGCTCGATGTGGTAAATCACAATTAGGCCCAACAGTCAAGGCAGTGGACCTCTTCGGAATAACTTTAATTTTGTTTCCATAGCCATTTAAATTTATTATTTCTTTTGCACACTTGCCAACAGGTTCAAAAGCCTAAACAAAACAGAAGATTGAAATACACTATACGACACAGGTAAAATATTTCAAAATGGACGAAAATATTCACCTCACAAGCAATAATAGAATCAGCTCCTGCTCTGGCTGCCATCATAGCCAGTAAACCAGTTCCCGTTCCAATGTCTAAGACATGGGCTGGTTTTCCATTTTGATGCATGAGTTTAATGGCAGATTCTAAGGCGACTTGATACATCTCATTCTACAAATTGCATGTAAAAGATAACATTGGTTATTATTGTGAGAGGAGACTGGAAGTTTGATGAAATTGTGCATTATGACTTACTCTCTCAGTGTCATGTAGCATGTCTGCATATGAGGAGCGTGCAATTTCTTGGTGAAAATCGTATTCGTCATCATGCATTTCCCACTCCGTTTTCCCTGTTATGGGATTAACCTTGTTAGAAAATACGCTCATAGCTCTTACCATAGAGAGCACTTGAGGAGGGAGGGGTGTTGGTTTGAACACACAAACCAACCGGCTAAGCATGAACCTGGAGACAAAAAATCCGAAACAAATTTAATGCAGTCGAAGGCAAGGGAATGACAACAGAGTATGAATTACATGTACCCTACAAAATTGCACTTCACACTTCTGGAACTATCCAGAAGTATGGCAAACAAATTTAATCGTAAACATAGATTTTAGAGTTAAATGCAACACAGGTTCGGTTTGTTGATGCGGCTTATAGGTTACTGCGCCCCATGAACCATATCCAGTGAGAAAATAATGTGATAAAAAAAAGGTTGGAACACGTACGTGTCACAAGGACACTTTAGGATACGTTTCTCAGTCTGAGTATATCTTTGGATTTATTTGATAAAACTTGACACACACCCTTTGAAAAACAGGACTAAGTTACGATATCGTGAGCATGAGTTCGGGAGCAGAGCAGACAGGTGGTAGCAGAAATTGTTTCCGGCCGGAAAACAAAGACCGCTCCGTTCAAAATCGCTTTCCGCCGTAGTGCTCCACAAATCGCAATTAAATAGTTTCACGAGGGAACTGGCTTATTTTCTACTTTCTTTTTACAGAGTACATTTGAAACTTTCAGTTGAGTGAGATTCGGACCATTTGTTTCGTGACAACAGCTGGCTAACAGTGGTTAAATGATTCCACGTTTTCCCGCCGTCTAGAGGCTGATTTCGCTTCGGGCGACATTATCATCAGGCTTTTCGAACCTCATGCGGCTTAGTTATCTGTAATTTTAAAATTATTCCAGCACAGCTCAGCCAGTCGTGCAGTCAAATTAATTTTCCCTCTGCAGTTTTGACAGAAAAGGAGCCGAAAAGGAATCTCTATCCTGTTTAGTTAATGAACAGTGACCCCTAGTGGACAACAGCCACAACGGGCAGTCAAACCCCCAGGCAAGTCACTGCACTGCGCACTCTGTCTTCGGTTCCACACCCATAGTTCAACACCAATTCATGCTGATTAAACTCTCATCGATGTGCAAACGACATCTAGATTGTTTAGTTAAATTGTCATTTTGTAATCACTTGTGATAAACTGTTTATGTATAGGTGTCAGTAGTTGGAGCAAAGTACAATCTTGCGGCTGTATTTGACAGAATTTCAACATGGCGAACAATAGTAGCGGTGTGGGTGAGTTTTCCCATTTTATTGACTGGATCCCTAATAACAGTGGGGTCCCCAGGATTAATTTTACCACTATCGGGTTAGTTGTCTATTTCGTGCCCTTTGAAGAAAGTCCTTATCAGCTTGTAATCTGGAATGATGGCTATAGCCTCAAATTCTTGCACCGGCCATCTGAACCGCCACCTATTCCATGTTCTGGAAATATCTACCAGTTATCGCTGCTCCATTTACACAGGATATGGCCCGTAAAAAATTTCGGCATTGGGCCCTTTTAAAATTTTACCTGTTAACTTTTCTGCTACGACGTCACAAGGGGTCTCTCGAAGATCATCCTGTGCTGTAACATAGGCCTACATTTAGATTTACAGTGGAGTTTTAGTTTAAACAATTATTATTTCTATCACTATGTGCGTAGCTTTGTTTCATTCGTTGTCTGTAATTTTCTGTCCTTACTTAGGACTGCAGTACAGTTAACATCTCAAAATTTTGCTCGCAGACTGACATAACCTTGAAATTTGTAGCTGAACCTCCCCCAGCTATATCATTTTGTAATTTAGTCTTGCACTCTCTTAATTTCTTTATGGACGCTTAAGAGTAAGGATTGCTTTTTCTGTAATCATTTATTTGGTCTGTGTAAAATAGATTGATACCAATAGATACGTGATTGAAATGTTCAGCAGATTTGTGAAGCATTTGATTATTGCTTTTATGCTGTGTTCATTGCCTCTTAATTTTAATCATTGTGTTGTGCTGTTTCAGTTGTGCCACGAAACTTTCGTCTGCTTGAAGAACTAGAGCAAGGCCAGAAAGGAGTTGGAGATGGAACTATCAGTTGGGGCCTTGAGAATGACGATGATATGACTCTTACTCATTGGACCGGAATGATTATTGGCCCCCCTAGGGTATGTGTTTTAGGTGCATTCAAACATAGTTGTACATATGAAGATTTATTTATTGACCTTATTTTCTGTTACAGACTCCTTATGAGAACAGAATGTACAGTTTAAAAATCGAATGTGGTCAAAAGTATCCAGATGATGCACCCAGTGTCAAGTTTATGAATAGGATTAATATGAACTGTGTTAACAATTCAAATGGAGTGGTAAGTGATCAGATTTTATGCGAGTACATTTTGATAGAGCAAATCTAATTTCCGTTGTTAATTTTGTTTTCTTCTTCTTTTCTTTTTTCTGAAGGTGGACAGCAGAAATGTTCCTGTTCTCTCCAGATGGCAGAGGGATTATACCATCAAGACCCTACTCCAGGAGCTTCGGAGGCTCATGACCATGAAGGAAAATATGAAGCTCTCACAGCCACCTGAGGGCAGCTCTTTTTGAAGAAGCATCTCACTCCTGCTCAGTGTAAGAGTGTTTTGTGACGGTGCTGCAAGAGACATTATATCAAGTGAAAGAAGACTACTAAATTGAAGGGTGATGTGCAAGTTAATGTGGGAAGACTTAGAAATGCTGGTGATCTTACTGTTAATTTTAAATTGGAATTAACCTTGAAGCTTTGTACCCTATCAAAACTTTGAAGCATGTAACATCAATCACCATAGCTGTTCCATTATCGCTGGATTTTTAATGTCCTGTTAACACGGCTTCCTTTTTTATTTAAAAATTATTCTTTCCTGGGTTGTCCCCAATGGTGGCAATAATTAGTCTTGTATTCACCAGAGTTTGCAGATGCCAGTTGCTACTTTGTCATTTTTTAAAAATCATATTATGAAATGCTATGAGTCATTTTTTTTTTAACCAAGAGCCTAGGGTCAAATGGTTGGGACCCTAACAGGTGCATTGCTGTATTTTTTTACTGCAATGTATGTCTCTAGAAGCTGGAACTTAAAAGGAATAAAAGTGTACCTATTAATGTATCTATTGTATTTGTGATGCTGTGTGATGTTGAAAGAGGTGTTTTTGTTCTCATGAACAGATACAGTACTCACACCTGTAGTAGGTGTTGTTTCTATCCCTTCCTCTCCTGCAGCACGGAATTTTGGGTGTTTTGTACCAGCCTGATTTCTACCTGCTGAGAAAGTTGTTTGTAGGCACTCTTAATAGTGCTGCACCATTATGAAAAAAAATAATAATAAATGTTTCCTTGTAAATGTCCACTTTTCAATGAAATTTTATTTTCAATGTTAAATTTGTCTCAACCTTAGGAAAGCTTGGTTAATGAACGTTTCTGTAACAAATGAGGCCTTTATTTGTACATATGAACTTCCCCGTCATTCTCATTCCTTATCAGTTAAAGGTTTTGGTGTGACTTAATGCCGAAGGTGCCCGACTAGGATGATACCGCGGTCAGAAAGGCGCCAAAGGGCCAAAGACTTCCGGCTTGTGTGGGAGCTAGGTCATGCGTGCGTGCGATGGGACACACTGTCCGTGTGTCCGTCCACCTGCCAGTCTTGGTCCACAAACTGGACTTGGGAAGAAAATCAATCCACAAGCTGTATTCGAGTTCCAGAAGGAACAACGGCGCGCTCAAAGGAATCCGGTGCTGCGTCTGCTGGATGGGAGACCAAAGAGGGGAGAAAAGGAAGCAAGGGAAAGGGATTTGGTATTTTGTGTGGTCCGGGTTCCGGGCGTTCCGGCTCCAGCCGTCCATGACAATACGTGCGCGACGGCCCGCCTTGACTTATTTATGGTGCTGCTGACATGCGGCCTCTCAAGTGAGCGGGAATCTGGGTCAGCTGCCCCTCGACCGCCGCCTGCGCTCTCTTTCGTTACATTTCATCCCCGTGAACTTCGCTTTAGTTTACAGTGTCGTTGCAAAAACAATCGCTACAACTTTACGCACCTGGCGGACGGGACGACCACCCGCGGGGCCCGCGCGTCAACACCGTCGACTCGACGAGGGGAACGGCCAGCCAACTGGGGAAGTCCTGCCCGGTCCTGCCGGCCGCCATGCCTATGCGTTTCCTGGGGACTGTGGAAGCGGGCACCTGCCGCACCTGGCCGTCGCCCAGGACGCGACGGCGGGCCGGGTGTCCCTGGGACACTGTCCCCCCTGAAGGGCAAAGGCGTCCCTCGCTGGGCCGCGCCGGTTTCGGCCCTTCGGCGACGAGGCGAGCCTCACCTCGGATGGAGCGGGGCCGACGCGACACCAGTGACACGGCGGGGCGACGGGCTTGGCGTGGAATGCATGGGCCGATCGGGGGCCAGGGGCGGCCAGGGGCCAGGCATGGACCAGGTCAGCGAGACGGCGAGAAGGGCACGCTCGACGTGCTCGATGCATCTACACGGAGGGGAAGGCGGGGCACGGCGTAGTGCGGGGCTGCAGTTGGGCAGCCCCTGCCCCCCGCCCGGCCCGGCCGCCTGGTCCAGGCTGCCGCTGGCTGCCGCTGCTCTGCTCATGGGATCCGCATCGGGATCAGCATCAAACAACCAATGCCATAAATAATGCATGGGAGGGAGACATGGGCGTGGCGTGGCCGGCGTGGCCTTATGTCCCTGCCTGCCCCGCGGCTGGGCCTTGCTCGGCTGGACCGTCTGTGGGCCCCGGGCCCGCGGCGGGGTGGGGTGGGGCTTGTCGCCGGGAGGAAGCTTGTAGGGCGCTCGGATCGCAACAGTCTGCTTATGCATACATTATTGTGGCCCGAACCGTCACCATGACGTCATCACGACAATCGGGCTATACAAAAAAGAAGCATTATGGCGAGCAACAAGACATAATACTGACCTCCCTAAACATAAAATGTACGAAATATTTTGCAGCGGCGGGGAAACACCTCGTTTGGAAAGATGCCCCCCACACAAGCGCGCGCGCACCCTTCCGTTACCCGCGCGCTGTGCCACGATGGTGCCGTTGTGCGCAAAATGCAATTATTCTGATAGGCTTCGCCATGCCGCTCGCCGAGAGTCCCCCGGCCACAGTCACAGTGTCAGCGCGACTCATTACCCTGCGAACATGTTTCAAGACACCGCCTCATTTGAATAACAGGGAGTCTAGTTCCGCACGCCGGCTGGCGTCCACTGGCGTCCCTCGGAGCGGAGGGACTCGATGCTCTGGTTGGCCTGCCCGAGGGCCTGCCCTTGCCCCACGGCGCGGCGCCGTCCCGGCCGCGCGGCCAAAAACAGGCGGGCCGCGTTTTCCACACTTGCGGTGCTTTACCGTGAGAGAGCCAGTGCTGCGGCTAAAGTGGGCTTCGGGACCGCGGGGACCAGCAACCGGCATTCTCAGAAACCAGCTCCGGACGGCTGACAACACAACGAGGCGACGCACCGCCGCACCGCGACGGACGCATGCGCCGCACCCCGGCCTGGTCCCTACCGCTGCCATGGGACGGTGGGACGCTCGGCCAATGCTTATCAAGCTCAAGCATCCCACCCACCCAGCCTAGCGGTGTTCTGCGGACGTTCTTCCCTGTCCCGCGGCAAGTTCAAGGAGGACCCTTGGCGGCCTTCACCTTCACGGCCACTCGGCGCTCGCGGGCTCCGGAATGATTCCGAGGGTCGTTTTCGTCGCTCTGTCTCTCTCGCACTTATGTAGGACACCCCATGAGTGTGAGAGAGACAGAGCGACGAAAGAACTCTCGGAATGGGGCGGGCATGTGTCGGGCCCGAAATGGCATACGATCATGTGTGGTCTAGCCCTTAATGGTAATGGTAATGCGGGGTAGGCCACCCTCACCGACGCCATGCACCGGCGCGTGCAGGTTGCCTACCCTGACTTCGTTAGGCGCTTCGCCGGGCACGGTCTTGGCACGGTCTTGGCGACAATGGTGAATGGGGGCGTCCCGGCCGGTCGGTTGAAAGTGTTCGGGTGAAAGTGCGTGCTGCGTGCGCCTTGACGCTTCCAGCGTGCTTCCAGCGTGCTTCCAGCGTGCTTCCAGCGTGCTTCCAGCGTGCGTCCAGCCTCCCAGATCGAGGCGACGAGACGCTGGTCCATTTGTTGTGAGAGGCCGGGAGGCGGACGTGTGACAGGCGGACGGGCCGTGCCGGCCATGCCGGCCATGCCGCTGCAGGTGGATTAACTCATTATCGGAGTGGCCGTGTCCGCGGCGCGGTCCGGGGGCCGCCCGTCGCGTCCCGTCCCGCCCCGTCCCCACGGTCCCCAGCTCGCGGCCCGCGGCCCGGCCAAGGGCCCGGCCCTTTCCCGGAATGTCTGATCGGCAGTCTTTTTGCCGGGGCTGCGGACCGTCGGCCCAGCGGCCCTGCGGACCAGGCACAAGGCCAGCGAGGGAGCGCTTCGAGGACGGTGCGAGACGATGACGCCGGGAAGGGGGAGGGGGAGGGGGGGGACGCAAATCCGGAGACGTCTCCTCGTCCGTCTGGATTTATCGCCGGGGGCGTCGATTTGAATTGAATCTTATCTGATGCGGTCGGGCTGTCCGGCCGTCTATCTGTGACGGCGTGACGGCGTGACGGCGTCCTCGCTGTCCAGGTCCGCGCCGCGGAAGCAAATCGGGACCGCCTCGCCGCCGTGTCGCCGCGTCGCGCTGCCGCCAGGCTGCTGCGCTGCCGCTCGGCGACAAGGCCACTTTGTAAGGCACGCCGCGCCGGCCGCGCTGGCCGACGACGAGACGTCCACGACGTCGGCCGGCCGCGCAAATGAAGACGGATCGCGCGGCGTCCTCGTGCACCGCGGTCGAGGCCGTCGTAGTCGTGGCGGCGGTCGCCGAGCTAGTCTACCCCGAGGACCCCGTCGTTCTGATCCGCATCAAGGCAAACTCGGATGTTTCCTCGACCCTGGGAACCCGGGGCTAAGTTCAAACTGAATGGGCGGGTAGAGACTACCTCAATGGCAGTCTGTATTTCTGATGTTGTACCCGTGAACCGTCATGGAAACGATCCATTCTTAAGATGAGCTAATAGAAGGTCCGACCCCGGTGCAGTGGCAACACCCGCCACCCCGACCTCCAGCCAAGCCTCCAGGGGTCCAGGGACACGACGCACCGCGCGTGCTTTGCTGGTGCGCACTGGAGCGAGTCCTGGAGCGCCGTGCCTGTCCAGCGCCTGGACTCCAGACTCCAGGGGCCCGGTCCGCACCGTCTCACAGTCCCTCCGCCTCCAGCCCCGCCAGCCCCGCCAGCCCCTCCAGCGCGAGCGCTGCTCCGCGCTCCCGCTCCGCTCCAGTCAGTCGGATGCCGGCTGGCAGCGAGGGAGTACGGCGCTCCCCGCAGGCGTGCAGAGCGTTTGCGTGTCCTCACGCGTCGCACGAAATCGAAAGTGACGTTAGGCGTGCGTGGCGCATGCTCTTTGCATACCGGGCCAGAGGTTTGTCAGCGCGCGAAAAGTCGAGGGCGCGGAATCGAACCCGGGAGAGTGAACAAGTGAGTGTGCAGTGCAGTGACGGAGGGCCGCCAGGCCATCGCCACACGGGGGGAAGCACCCTCGGTGCGCCCACTATGCGGATTACCTCAAGGCCCAGCCAGCGAGAGACAGCACGACAGTGAGATAGGTACGGAGCCGCTCCGGCAGTGTGTCTGCGCGTTTCATCATTCGAGGCCGAAACAAGACGCGGCCGGCGCGGTGGTTGCCGCGGCGTGGGTCTTATTTTTGTCCAAGTCGTAGACACGCGCAGCGCTCCATCACAGCATTAGAGGGAGTCAATGGACCGTGCCCACCGTGCCCGCCGTGCACGCCTGCAGGTCTGGGTGCGCGGTAAATTCAAATGTGTCGCGACAACGACCGTGGCGGACACAATGAGCGGGGGGGAAAGCCCGTGGCCGAGCCCGCGGCCGAGCCCGCGGCTGTGAATGGAACATGGAACGCACCCCGCCGAGGGGGCCGGGACGCCCCGGGGCTTCAGGGTACTGCCAGAAGGGTGCTGCAACAGGGGGACCTGACACCCGGACCGCCCGAGCGCGTCACTGGGACACTGTCACCTCCCTCTTTGCCTGGGTTCTCGCACTCACGTGATGCCAATAAAAGCGCGCAGAGACGCAGGCGGTGGGCGCAAGGCGGCAGGGTGGGCGACGCGAGGTGCGCCGGGCGTCAAGTGTAAGCGACACCTGCGTGACGGCCTGCCACGGCCTGCCACGGCCTGACGGCTCCGACGGCCCGGGACGCGTCGGGTGTCGGGTGACGGGGTGCAACGTGTCGCCTGGGAGGACTCGGACGACTCCCAGGGCAGGCCTGGGCAGGCCAGCCGCCGCAGGGCCAGGCCGGGGCGCTGGCCGGTGGGCCGAATTCAGGCAGCGAATCGTGAGTGGCGACCGCGTTGTGACGTTGCCATGCCAGACTGCCGGTCGGCCAGACGCATAATCGGGGAAGGAATCCGCGGCCCGGCCGGCGGTGCAGGCGGGGCTGGCGGTGCCAGCCGGCCCTTCGCTTATCCCGCGGTAATCACGGAACGGCACAGGCGGGCACAGCACTGTAAGCATCGGGCGCCTCCTCCACGGCCGCCTCGCCTCGCCCCGTGTCTCATGCCGTTTCTCATCGCCGAGCCTCGCGATTACCCCGGTGGAGCGCCAGCGCAGCACCGCGCAGCACGAGCCGACGCAGCCAAAGCCGTGCAGATTGCGGCCAGCGGCTCGGACGCAACGAGGGCCGAGTACCACGGGGCTCTGTTGGGCCGGGCCAGCGCCAAGCCCCAGCCCCAAGCCCCAGCGCCCAGCCAGCACAGCTCCCCCACGAACGAGAACGAGGCCCCTTTGCCTTCGTCCGTGCCGACCGCTCGGCCAGGTGTTTACCTCTTGCCGCGCCTCGCCGCGCCGTCGTCGTCGTGATTGCATGCGGGTGGAGGAATATAGCGCCAGCCGGTATCGAACCAGGGTCACGGGGGTCGCTGCCTGCCCGGCCGCCTGCCTGGCTGGCTGACCCCACGGCACATGAAGGGGCACGCTCTGCGAGCTGCGCCGTGCCATGGCCGCGCGCCGTGCGCTGGCCAGCGGCCTCGCCCGCCTCGTCCGCCAGTATCGGTCCCGCCCCTTTCCCAGGCCCAGCATCATCCGCGCCTCCCTCCCCTCTCTCCCTCTACCTCTTCTCTCTCGCTCCTTCCTTCCTCCTGGCTCCGGGCTTATCAGCGCGGGTCGTTAGCAGCTTGGCACGGCATGGACAATCGCCTTTAATTAGTTTCACCTCCCCTCCGCGCTGGACGTGCTCCATACCCTACCCCCCCCCCCCCCCCCCCGCCCCGTCGTTCTGTTTCCGCTGACAGGCGACACCTTTCAGCGGGGCGCGGGGCTTGGCGCGCTCGGCTGTCCGCATGCTGGGCGCGTCGCCGCGTCGCCGCATCGCCGCATCGCCCGCCCCCCGCGGCTTGTCCCCGTCGTCCCCGTTACTCTGCGTCTTTAGCAGCACCACTAATAAATGCCGCTGACCTCTGCCCCGCGCCGCACCGCGCAGCGTCGCTTCGCGCACCCAAAAAATAATCTGGGACCCACCAGCGCTGCCAGCAAGTGTGGAACTCGTTTTGGAGATTTGTTCCACGTCGGCGAGCGATGGCAGAGATACCCTTGCACCGCCGTGGCTAGCCGTCGTGGCGTGCGCGCCTCCCCCGCGCCTCCCCCGCGCCGACCGGGCACCGCGGTGCCCGCGGGCCCAGGTTCCGTAGCTCTGTCTCTCTCGCTCCCATACAGGACGTCCAATAAGTGAGACAGAGACAGAGCGATGATATGGCCCAGCAGGTCCGGGGCTCGCGGTGGCGCCTGACGAATGCGCGGACCGCCGGTGTTTCGTCCTCCTCGTCCTCGTCCTCCGCGGCTGCCTGGCCGCCCTGGCCGCCCATGCCCCTCGCACGCCGTGCTCCGGTGCTTCGGTGTCTCGAGTCCGTGTGACTCGGGCTCTTTGGGGCCGATGGAGTGCCGATAGCGCGCGCCACCGCGGTTCGGTTCTTTTCTGTTTTTTATCTCCGCGGCGACGGTTTGACGACTTGTCAGGCAGCCGGCCGGGGGCACAGGCCCGACACGGCGCGGCACTGCGCGGCTCGTGATGGCCCTGATGGGGTCGGCGAGGCTGGCGAGGCTCCCGCCGGCCGGGGATTCACTTTCCCGTCACAGCGCGGCGGGGGGTCCGACAACATTCCCCTTTTTATGCGTCTTTTATTAATTCGGACACGGCTGCGGCGCTCCGGCACGAACCGTTCTTCGTTTTTCCGCGATAAGCGATTCGGTAACGTATTCTGACCGCTCCGATGGGCCGGACACGACGGATGGGCTGGGACATCGCACTAGTGGATGGCTGGGCCCTGGCGCAGCCCTGGGGATTTCGACTTCCCGGCGGGCCGGATTAGGGGCCGACCAGAAGACAAGTGTGACTTTGATGCTCTTAGTGGCGTCGTCCGCGTCGTCCGCGTCGTCCGCGTCGTTCGCGTCGTCACCGCCCGGCCCGGCCCGGCCCGTGAATCAAGGATAAGCAGCACTTTGTTTTGGCCGCGCCGTGCGCCGTGATGGCGGCAGTCACGCCTGGTCACGCCGCCACTGTAAGCGGCGCGCACCGGAAACACAGTCGGTGTGTGGTGCGCGACGCGCGGCGGGGTATTAAGACGTTGTAAATACGGGCAGCGGACACGCTAAATCGCGGCACCGCGGCACCGCCCGCCCCGCCACCAAGCACTGCGAGCACTGCAAGCACTCATTGCCATGCGCTTTGCCGCCATGAGCGTAACTCAGGCGCGCCTCGGCGTGGCGTGGAGCGTGGCGCGGGACATAACTCAGCCACCCATTGCAAGGCGTGCACACATGAGAGGTCTGGCACCGCGGAGCCCATAGTCCGCTCCCCAAAGCCCCGCCCGGCCCCCGCCCGTACTCGCGGGGGGGGGGGGGGGGGGGAGCCGCGAGGTTACCGAGAGGGAGACGCGGCCGCCATCCCGGCATCCATCCCGCGGAAACGGGACGAAACGGGAGGAAGAAATGAGAAGAAAAATGAGCTCGCTGCTGTCACACTTGCTGTCGCCCTGTCGCGGAACAGGATGCCGGACGGACGGGGACGACAAGGACCTGCAAGGACCACAAGGACGCACGGGCATCACTTTCGTTCCCCACCCTCTGTCCCTTGCCCAGCCGTGCCCAGCCTTGCCTTTCTCGTGTCTTTTTCTGCCACGACCACTTGGATTCGCCGTTCGCGACTTTAGTTGCAAACACCTGTTGCCGGCGGCCGGGCAGGCCGGGGAGCCTGGGGCGGGTTGGCCAGCTCATTAGACGGCCCGACTGAACGGAACGCGGAACGCCCGCGGAATACGGTAGTGGCCAGCCGGGCCGACCGGGCCGCGACAGGGGCAGGCCAGGCAGGGCAACGGCAACAGGCGGGCAACGTGTCCGAAATGGAGGGATTCCTGTGAGGCCGGAGACTTGCACGCGGGGGCGGGCCGGGCGGGTCGAAGACTCATTCCGCTCAGCGTCGCGTTGTCGCGTTCCGTCGGCCTGCCTCTCTCGCATTCGAACGGGGTGCCCTACGGGTGCGAGAGAGACGAGCCGACTTGAGCGATGTGCGGAATCAGCCACCGCCTGCAGGCCCTGCAGGCCGGGTGGGACGGGTTGGAGTGCGGTGCCGACGCTGTTGTGACCGCCGCCTCGCGCCTTGCGCCCCTCGTCCGAATCAATCATGCTGGCGCTGCGGCGCTGCCACCGTGGGGCTGGCCGTCAGACAATCGCTTCATTCCCCACCGCACTCATTAAAGCGCAGAGCGCGCCCCGTGCGGAGTGTGCCGCGCCGCGTGGACTCGGACGCCGCGCCGACGCACGTCGACGTCGACGCCGCCGTGGCCGCGACGCCGCGCCCCGCGGCCCCGCTACTATATCACCAGCCATCTCCCCGCGGCGCGGCTTGGCGCGGCGCGGCCGAGACGGTGAGAAAAAGTGAATAGAATGCCGATCTGATATACACTTCGAGGTGGTGCGTGAAAAGGGGAGGGGCGGGCCGGTGTAATTCCCTCATCACATCCACAAAACAAACACTAACCGGCCGCGCCGCGCCGCGCCCGCCGCGCGTGTTCCGGCCGCAAGAAGAATGCGTCGGGCGGTTTCAAATGAAAGTCCATTAATGGCGTGTGCGTTGCGCGTTGGGGAGCTTGGCCTCACTGCCGACTCGCTCCGCGCCAAATCGTAATCACTTCATCGCTGCAGCCGAGGAAACACGTCGCGCCGCCGCCACCGGTATTCCAGAACTGTCTTATTGTTTGTTTCGTTTCTTCATTATTTCTCTCCTTTTTAAACGCATTTTCGTGAGGCCCGGGTGCTCCGGTCAGTGCGGCGGCCAAGCTGCCAGGAGAAACTGTCAGCCTGCCCGTCAGCCTGCGTCACTCTCGCTGCCCGGCCTGCCCGGCCGGCGTCGGGGGCCCCGGCGTCCCCGGCGTCCTCGTGCTGCCTGCCCGCTGAGCCGTACCGCCGGTCGCGTTAGCGCCTTAGCGCACTGGACTTTTTATTTTATAGAGCGGCTTGCCCGGCGAGCTTTTACCTTCCAGTGTCCGAGGCTGTAGTCGGGCGGTGAAAAGGGAAAGGGGAAAACCGGGGGCAGGAGGGGGAGGGGGGGGCAGACAAACAGAGGGTTGGCTGTGAGAAGAAGGGTGCCATGGTTCGTTTTGTACGGAACTTCCACTCCGGATGACCCGACAGGTTTTGCCATCTTTCTGCCGACAGGGTTGGAGCCGCGCGCCACCGCATGGCCGCATGGCCGCACGGCTCTGTCGTGTCGGCCCGCCGCCCCGCCGCCATGAAGAGGAAGAAGAGGAAGTGAGAGCCGCGCGGCCGTGGCCATGACTTGGGGGCGGCTTGCCTGGGCTTGCCCTGGCCGATGTGTCATGACGCTAGTCATGAGGCCATGACGGTCCCAGGGCCCTACCTGCCCCCGGACAAGGTGTACGAGGAGGCCACTCCGCAGGTGCGGCTGGCCGCGGAGCGCGCGGGTGCCGTCCTCAGCAGCAACCTCTCGCCGCCGTGCAGCAGGTCAGTCGTTTGCCCCGCTTGCTCGAAATGTGTCTTTTCGCCTCCGAAATCCTAACGCCCTCCCGTTGCTTCGCTCAGGACATCCCGCTCCAGCTCGAGGACCACGTCGAGGAGTCGCGCCACCGACCCCTCCCGTTCCTGCAGCTCCGACGATGACGACGACGACAGCTTGGGGGACGGCGCGGCCGGCAGGACGAGCAGGGCAGCAGGGCCAGCAGGGCCAGCAGGGCCAGCAGGGCCAGCTCGAAGAGTCGGGCCAAGCGGGAGCGGCAGCTGGAGGAGCTGTGTTGCGAGTTCTTGCTGCGGCACCGCATCAACCCGGAGCTGCTGTGCGCGTACCGCCAGGACCGCCAGGACCGCCAGCGCCAAGGCAGCAAAGGTAAGGTAGAGCAGGGAAGGGAGAGTCGAGAGCCAGAGCCACCCCGCCTGCAGCCCGCAGCTTCATCGCCGCGACGCGCCGAGACGCGCCGCTCGGTAGAGGGAGGGGAAAGGGACAATGGCACGGCCGCACGAGTCGCAAAGCCCGCAGTGTCAGGATGGCCGAGCGGTCTAAGGCGCCAGACTCAAGGATAAACCTTGCTCCCAACCGGAGTCGAGTGTTCTGGTCCTCATCTGAGGGCGTGGGTTCAAATCCCACTTCTGACATACATTTTCTCGCGTTTCTTTGCGCCGAGAGAGGGGGTAGGGTCTGGTCTGCCGCACTGTGCAACAAATTACTTTTCCGTGGGAATGCGTGGCTGGCTGCAGCGCCGTGACAGTACTCGCGGTAGTACAGTGCACAACACTCCATAACACTTGACGCAAGCTCTGTCGGACGCCGAGAAAAGTTGTTGCGCCTGCCGCGGCTGATATTCGCGAGATCGTCTGCCCCGTTTGTCTGTTTGCCTGTTTGTCTGCCAGCCCTGGCAGCCGGCGGCCGGCCACCCACCGACTGCAGGCAGCGCGCAGCAGGCACACTGCGGCGCCAATTAATTAACAGTCGCGCACGCGGCGCGCATAGAGGCGCACCGCCGCGGGGACCGCGCGGACCGCGGGGCAGCAGCTGCGCCGCCCGCCGCTCGCCATAGGTAATCCGGGCAGCGCGGGGCGGGGCGGGGCGGGGCAGGGCAGGGCGGGGCGGGGCGGGGCGGGGCGGGGCGGGGCGTGCCGGCAGGGCAGGCGCCTGTTGCTGCTGCTGCCGTTTCCGGCAGAGCGGTGTATCGCAAAAATAAACTAGCGCGCCTGGCAGCCGCGGCGGGGGCCTGGGCCTGGCCTGCGTCCGTGCCGCCGTGCCCGGCTGTGCCTGCACGCGAGGAGGGACTCGAGGAACTCGAACAAGAAAACGAAATGAAACCGTGGTGGCCAGATGGACACAATGCACCTGCCACCGCCCCGCCCCTCCCCGCCCCGCCCGGTAGCCCTTTTCCCTTCCTGGCAATCGCCCAAAAGGACCCTTTCCCTATGCTTCCGAGCTGTGTGCGGAGCCGTTCAGTGCGGCTCGAAGCGTTGTCCGGATCCACCAGCGCATCTGCATCTGCAGCCCGGGTCGAGTTACCCCTTAGCGCATCGAGCTAAATGCACTCGCCAGGGCTGCGTCCGAGTGCGAGTGTGAGTGCGCGCGCCAGGCGCCCGGGTGACGTGCCGCGCGGGTGCGTGTGCGAGCTGGGCGCCCCGGACGCGGCCCGACGCCAGCACCGCGCGGTACGTGCTCGTCGCACTACTACACTGCGTCCGGCAGTCCGCGTACAGTCCCTGCAGTCCCTGCAGTCCCTGCAGTCCCTGCAGTCCCTGCATGCGCCTGATGAGTTTGGCAGATTCGGCCGCCCTTGCTCGCGGTGCGCGGCACTTGGAGGCGCTGTAGGCACTGCAGACTCGCGCCAGGAAAAGTGGCATGGAGTTAGTGGCGGCGGTGCGGCGTGCGATGGGTGGCCGATGGCGGCGTGTTCTCATGTTTAGCGGCGTAGCGGCCACGGTGGCAGCGGTGTGGGGGGCACGGAGGCACCGAGATAATGCCGTGATGGACGCCAGTGCGCCGTTCTCTCTCGCACCCCTGCGGCCCCTGCGCAACGGCCACTGAGTGCGAGAGAGACGGAGCCAAGAAAGCCCGTTCGAAATCGGCCTCGCGGGAGTCATCGGATGACTGTCCTGGCACCGGCGCAACGACCGTGGTCCGAGTCCGTGGTCCGAGTCCGTGGTTGGGGCTTGTTTCGTCCGGCATAAAGTAGCTGCCCGGTCAAGCCTCATGTGCCTCAGAGTGCCTCTCTGTGGGTTATTAAACATTTAGGCCTGCAGTGCGCCGCAGTGCTTCAAGTGGTGCTGAGTCCTTTTTTATCGCACCGGACAAGGGAACGGTGCCACTCCGGCCACCCAGCCCGTCTCGGTAAGTGTGCTGGCTCGACGCCACCCTCCACACCACGCCGGAGCCCTCTCGCGCCTCCCCCCCCCCCTTCTCTCTCTCTCTCTCTTTCTCGCTCGCTTCCGCGCGCTCTCTCCCTGTTGTGCGCCCCCCGCTGCTGCCCGGCCCCCCGCGGCCACGGCGCGGCGCTCGCACACTTGGCGGGGGGCGGACACGTCGCCGTCTGGACGTGGACGTCGTGGACGTCGTGGACGTCGTGGGTCGCTCTGTCTCTCTCGCACTCGTGGGGCGTCCCGGATGATAGGTGCGAGAGAGACGAAGGCGGCCCTCGGAATCAGTCGACTGGCTGGCGCAGCGTGTCGCGATGCCCGTCCGCGGCGCGGCCTTTTCATCCAGCGCACGGGCAGCGCGGCCCGCCGGCCAGCGCGGAGGGTCGTGGGGTCAGGGAAGCCCCCTCGCCCCGCCGGCCCCCGATCCCCGGCCACGCCCCGAGCGCCACGCACTGCACCAGGCTGATTTGGAAGTCTCTCTCACATCTTGTATGCGGGACGGGACGCCCCACGAGCGCGAGAGAGACACAGCGGCGGGGCACTGGTTCGGAGTCCGCCAGTGCCGCAGCAGCGCAGCGGCCGCGTGATTGGCGCGATCAATTTTTATGGATGACCCCCCGCGTCGTTCGTGGCGCGCCGCGGCCCGCCCCTACACTGCGTGGCCGTGGCCGAGGCCGTGGCCGCCCTTTCGGCAGCCCCCCGGCCGCCCTCTCGCCGAGGCGAGGCCGTCCGGACGCAAGCCACGCGGGGAAATCGGAGAATGCGTTTCATTTGCATTACAAAGAGTGGAAGCAAACGAATCCCGTCCGTATGTACCCAGTCGGCTTTGTCGGATACTAACTCGTGTTACGTTGGCGCGCAGCGCGCAGCCGCGCAAGGATCGCAAGGATGCACCGGTCCGGTGAGTTCGATATTCGCTCCGCTTCGGTTGCTCCGCCGTGCCGGTGTCTACACCGGCCGGGCCGGGCCGGGCCGCGGTGTGGGTACATACCCGCTGCAGCAGGGGGCAGAGCCATGGGCAAAGCAGTCTGGTCTGCTTCTCACAAGGGGTCTCTGTCATGAGGATCGCTCACTGATGGCGTCTCGCAGTGTCGTCACGTCGTCACCGCAGCGAGCTCCGTCCTTTGTCGCCGATTCCGGAAACCCCAAGTGAAAAGTACGTGAGCAGGGAATCGTTGGCAAGTAAGTCTGTCAGATGTGACTGCCAGACATCATCTCCCTATGACGAAACCAAACGCGCTTTACTATACATCGTCACGGCGGCGTGTCTATACTCCACGCGGTACCGCCGCGGGCGCGTTCCGGGCGCGGGGTATGTCGGCCCCGTCGGCCGCCGGGCTAGGCAGCCCAGCGTGGCGCGACGTCGAATGGGTTGCCTGCGCGTCAGGGGCACACCGGCCAGGCCAGGCTCTGCACGGGCGCGCAGCCTCCCACTGCTGGAGTCCTCCAGGTGCGCGTTGCGCGGTGCCGTCCCTCCACGCACACGCTGTGCTGTGAGGCGAGCCTCGGCGTTTCGGCTTCGGCCCTGACTCCGATTTCCGGTGTGGTGCCCCGGTGCCCCCGCGGAGTGCGGACTGCAGTGCGTGCACCGCATCGATGACCCGGCGGGAATGCAAAGGTAACGGGCGGCAAGCACCCCAGCACCCCAGCACGCCCAGCACTCCCAGCACCGCGGCGAGCGTGGTCATTGCATTGGCGCCGTGGACGCCGTCGGTGCCGTCCGAGCCGCGGATGAGCTGCGCAAGTTTCGCATACGAATCGCCTTCCCGCTCCGCCTCGCCCCACCGCGGCCGACAAATCATCAGCGAGTGGCGACCTGGCCCCTCGGCCCGCTCGGCCCACTCGGCGTCTCTCGCTGCCGCACCGTTGGCCGGTTCGCCGGTTCGCCGGTTCGCCGGTTCCCGATCCCCGATTCCATTACGCGGCTGGAATTAGAAGCAAGAAGCGAGAAGCCGCGCGCCGAGTCGCGAGTCATCGCCCCGGGTGTCCGCCAGAGTGCTGCTGCCTGTCGCCAGCGGCCGCCAATAGCGCGGCAGACTCTTCGCGGCTCAAAAGTTTATGTTGGAGACTGCCGGGGTGTAAGGGCTTCGCTGCTGGCTTCGTGCGTGCTGCCCTGCGCTGCCCTGCGCGCGCTGGTGAAATGGAATGGGAGCACCCGGGTAGATGCTCGGCAAGGAGGGGGGAGGGGGTATTTAATGTGGCATAAACCAACATTGCGCTGCGCGAGGGTTCGAGCCCAGGCCGAGCCAGGCAGGCTCGAAGGTACCGCCTGCAACGAGCCAGGAATGCAGCCGGAGGAATTTCTAGGAAGTTAATGGCTGGCGCGGCTAAGGGCTGACAAGGGCACGGCATGGCGCAGCGGCGTAGCAGTGCACAGCAGGAGTCTCTGGCCGCCTTGGCCCTAGCCGCCCTATACCTCCTCCGCGAGCTCGCGCCTCGCCTCGCCTCGTCGCGCCGCCTCGGACAGAGCAGACAGGCAGAGGGAGCAGAGGGGAGGCCCTCCGCCGCCCGCCGGCAGGCAACCCATCGTGCGTCCGCGCCGTGCCGGCCGGCAGGCAGGCAGGCGTGGCGCGTGACTCTGGGCTAAGATTGGGGCATTGCTGCGCGCCGCGTGCCGCGCGCTGGCCCACCGCCAAGCCGGCATCGCATCGCACGTGCGGCGTGCTGCGCGGCCACGCCGGCCCGAGCCCTCTGCCCTCTGGCACGCCAAGGCGCGCCCTGCCCTAATCAACGAGGGACAATGGGCACTAGGGACTAGAAGCCCCGCGGCGCCCGCGGTGCACGGCTTCCTGGGACT